CTTGGCTTTGGCTTGTCGATTTTCAGATTGCGTGTTGCACCAGGATTGCAGAAATAACATGACTCGTAAGGTCAGAAAGGGAAAAAAGGAAGAGGTTGAAGATGAAAGAGGGTGAGGTTGGGCGTGGGGGCACAATGGGGTATCAGGGCACCCCGAACTAACCAGATAGAGAAGCATTCGGTTTGTTTTATTTGAAATCAAACGTGTTTTGGTCCATAATTCAACACTCTTTAAACTTACAGATTTATATATTTTATACTTTTTATTCAAAATGTATACGCCAAAAACAAATTATTTCAGAAAAAAGGCTATAAAATTATGTATAAGGGGTCAAATTGTGATCATAAGTCAAAGCTTTCTGAAATATTGACAGAACCGTTAAATCCACGTGAGGGGGGGGGGAGAAGTCATCAATATTTAGTTTAGACCATAAACCTCTTATTCTAGTCAATAAGGGCTGGTCACTTGAGTAATTTAATTTGAGAGAAGTCTCTGAGGCATAGTAATGTTGTAATCCGACGGAAAACTGATAATTTCCATGAAAACTCTTTAAATGGGTATTATAAACATGGCCCAACTAATACTTTGGCGGGCGGCCGGCGCCCCACATCTTTTAATAATAGTTGTTAGAATCTATTTAAATATCTAGATTACCTTGAATCCGTTGCAATTTCTTGTAAAAAAGTTATAAAGTATATGTTTCCCCCCGAAATAGTTCTCTGTAACAAAGACGACAGTATAAACATATTGCGGGTCTACAGGATCTATTCAAGGATAAATATATGAACAGGAAAAATTTAATTCATAATAAATCAATGCAAGATACAATTGATACAATGTTTGTAAATGAAAAGATTATCAGAATAAATTCATTTTGTCCATGTTGTACCATGAAACACAAGACAAATGCATCTTTAAAGGAGTATTGTGACAAAAAATAGTCACCTCCCCCCCCCCTGCACTGACCCCCTAAAATATCCCACAGTTATAACCCGTTCCGGTTTTTATCCTGTGAATCCCCAGTTGAAATATATTTCACTTCTTTGATTCTGCAGGTTCAAGTCTGATACTCTGTGGTTTCCATTAAGTTCATCAACGGAAAATAAAAGTTTTTTTCCATATCACAACTTCATATTTGTATTAAAATTACTACTTTATATCACGGTCAAAAGTTGCTTAATATTTCATTTAAAAACAAATTTAAAAAGTAATTTAATTTCAATTTTTATGTTTTGTGGAAGTATGGAATTTGATGATAAGAAAAGATTACATTTAAATCAAATTTCGGTGTATGTTTAATAGTAATGAAAATTATGAAATTAAGCTGCATATGTGCTTGACGGTGTCTGTTTCAGATTTAGCACCACTAGTCTAATATCAGGTCTTTAGGGTTTTTGAACTTGATCTAAAGAATAAGTATATGTTGTTAATCTATGATGGTATTTTAACAGATTCACGTTGAGTTGAAAATTCTTCATGTAGGGCCTAAAAAGAAAATCAAGTTTTTCAATTCTCGTCTGAATCCACTACGTATTCTTGATCATTTTCATTACACACGACAAAATTTGATAAATACATGTTAAGAATCTTGCAGGACAGAACACTTAAGAAACTGATAGATTTGCATAATTGAGTAAGATACAAAGACCCAAAAAGTAAAAATCCATGTGTATTTCTCCAGCTCTAAATCTTGTATTTAACTTAAAAAATTTGTTGTATATTTTTTAAATCTAAGAGTTGAACATTTACTTAAATGGTTTGTTAGCCAGTTAAGGTAAAGGAAGATTAAAATAGGGTTAGTATCATAGAGAATATATTCTCTATGGTTAGTATTGATATTATGTGTAGCATAATACAAAATATTCAAATAGTTTGTAAATTTTGTTGTGTGTAACGAAAATGCTCAAGATTACTTGAAACGTGAATCTGTTACTATACCATCATAAAACATCATCATATACTAGTTTTTTTGATTAAGTCTAAAAACCCTGAAGACCCTATATTTGACTAGTGACACCGGGTGACCCTCAATAAATGAGAAAACTGTAGAAAGGTCGGATGAAATGAATTGCGAAAAGTAGTTAAACATATAAGGGTTAATGTGCAACTTGTGTTGTGTTGTGTTTTTGTGATAGTGCAATATTGTAGAATACAAAGGAATTGAGTTTTTGCCACAAACTCTGATTTTCAAAATTCAATATCGTTACAACCCAATGTCGTAGACCTTTAATATTTCAAACTATGAAAGATATTAGATCAAATAATGTAAGTTTGAAATATCAAAGGTTTACATCATAAGGTTGCAAAGATATAGGTTTTACAAAAACTGAATTTGTGGCAAAGTTTGAATTCCTTTAGGATATTTTAGACGAATAATTTGTTCTTTTTTTGCAGTTTATTAATTGCTTAGTGCGAGTGCAATCTTCAGTTATTAGTTTCTGTGATCTCTCATTGTTCACTACCATTTTCTGTAGATTTTCTGGAATTTTTATTGAAAAGACGACATTTTCAGAAATTTGTAGAAATCTGCGAACAAAGTCGTAAAGAATAAGAAATTCACTATAATGATAAAAAAGAAATTATTGATTCTAACATTGATTTACTGATAAATTTCTATTGAGAAATTTGTTCCTACTCATCTAATTAGTTTACTACAGAATTTAAGATACATTTTTTTCCTTGTTATTTAATAATTTCTAAAATATTGATTCTCGAAACGTTACCACCCAAAAGGATGATTTTAAAAGACTTTGCGCTCAAACTCAGTAGTTATACACCATTAAAATGTTTTACATGTCTCAAATGAATCCTAAAAAATTTCTTCACAAAGTTCAAATACAATGTATTGCCGGTTACTCCCTTTAATTTAAGAACAACGCCCACTTGTAAAACTGAAAGATTTATAGAAAGAGTAGAGTTAGGACCTTTATACATACATATACATACATATTGTTTTAATATATTTCTTAAAGTATCGAAAGTTAAGATTCTAAAAATAAGACTAAGGTTATTCTGTTTTTGGAAGCGTATAGCTAGGAAAGGAATTTAACTTTTTTTCAATTGTACTTTCAGAATATACTGTTCAGAAAGGGTTTCTCGGCTTAAAGGACTTAAAGGAGTGAACAAGTTTTTAAAGAAAAGTAGACTATTCGCTTTATCATACTTGAAACAAAATGATTTAAATTTGATAAGATCAGGGACTTAAAAAATTTCAAATTTTTTAAAAATAACCCCAGTATGGGCTCTAAAGGCTTTGCAAACAATATTTCTTATGCATTTTTTGGTGTCATTAAAATTGGTCTAAGATCATCAAAACTGACNCCCCCCACATGCTTCTAGACAGTCAATAATATGAGATTTAAATAAACTACTTTAAACATATAATTTAACTATGTTTGCGCAGGATAATTTAGACCGAATCAAAAGGAAAGGTTCAGAGTAATGGATAAGGGCAAAGGTCTACAGTAAAGGGTATGGAAAGGTTCAGAATAAAGGAAAAAGGGAAAGGTCTACAGTAAAGGGTATAAAAAGGTTCAGAATAAAGGATAAGGGGAAAGGTCTACAGTAAAGGGTATGGAAAGGTTCAGGATAAATAATAAGGAGAAAGGTCTACAGTAAAGGGTATGGAAAGGTTGAGAATAAATGATAAGGAGAAAGGTCTAGCGTAAGGGGTATAGCTAGGTTCAGGGTAAAGGATAAAGGAAAAAGTCTAAAGTAATGGGTAAATAAGTCAATGCTTGACCCCGAGATTCAATAGTTCCTACTTCAGTTCACTTTTGCAAATAATATATATATATAGTAAATCCATTAATTATGATTCTTGGGATATTACCGACTTTCTAAGACCAAAAGAAAGTTCGCCGACGGAATGGAAACAGATAAAATTCTAAAAAATATTCTTTGGAAATTTCCCCAAGTGGAATAATCTGGAGAATCCCCCAAAAGAATTTTTTGTTAAGTCTTGCATTTTGTATGAATACCCTAACCGGAAAGCCTGTCAGCCTTTCAGTTCAAAATGTTTGGATTTGAATTTTGTATTTATCAACCATTAGATTTAGCATAGGAAACTTGGATATCAGCAAAATATTATTGGCTGCTAATAGATTTGCGGAATTAAAAATATCTCCACTAATTTTCATATTTGTCAATATCTGAAATGTAATCAAAAACCAAATTCAACGTTACTAAATGTGCAATATGCATTCTATCAGCCACGTTGATAGAATACTTGTACCAAAAAGTGTCCAACAAAGAGAAAGGAAAGGAAGAGGTAAAGATTGCCTAAGATGTACAGAACTGACTACTCTATTAATTAATTAATAGGGTGGTTGGTTGTGTACATCATGATATGTTTACGTAATTAACACTGTAACACTTGTATATAGATTGATCATATTTCTAGGGGAGGAATTTATGGAATTTAGCAAATATAACTTGAGGGATGTACGGTGGAGTCTCCCCAACCTTAAAAGGTCTAGCAATGTACAGTATTTTGGAATTTTGAAAAATTGATCTCACTATTCAATATTTTGTCAATCTTGTCTTACCATAAACAAACAACTCAACTAAAAGGATCTGAGTTTTTGCCACAAACTCAAATGTTCTAATCCCTATATCTCTGCAACCGGTTGGTGTAAACCTTTGATATTTCAAACTTTTTAATCTTATTTAATCTAACATATTTCATAGTTTGAAATATCAAAGGTCTACAGCACTGGATTGAAAAGATAAAGGGATTAGAAAACCAGAGTTTGTTAAAAAAGACTCAATTCCTTTACTGCAGCATACAATTCCTGTGTTTACAATCCATATTAAGTGTATATCTTTTTGAAGAAATATTCAATTATCTACATTGAGCCACTGCACCCCCAGAAATACGATCACTGAATCTATATACAAGTGTTCAGTGAATAGATACGTAAACATATCGTGATGTACAGAACTGACCACACTATTAATTAATTAATAGAGTAGTCAGTTCTGTACCTCTGAGGTAAGCTTTAGCTCTTCGGTTCCTTTCTCATGGTGTCCAGTCATGATTTAAGTTTATCATAATTTAGGCGTGCAACCCAAGGTCGGGATGGGACGTGTATTGCCTGAAAATAACTCTTCATTTTTAAATATGAACAGCTAAAACCCCTATGCCTGCAGGGGGGGGGGGGCTTGTAAACAAAATAAGACTGCATGACTGGATAAAAAGAACCTAGAACGAATTTAATAATAGTTCTTCATTTTATCAACACCAAATGTGGTTTCTACGATCATGAATGAAAATAATCCTGGATTCCCATGGATACATCATGCATTTATAAAAAGTAGCGATGTATCTGCAAAGCTGAAGAAAATGTAAAAGTAAGGCTGGCATGGTTCGTTCGCTTCTCTCAGTCTAATCTGAGCATGGATACGCGCAACACAACCCACTCTCCGTCTGGTATACAATCTGAACCAATCCAGGAGCGGTTATCCGTTCAAACCAAAACTGGAGACATTGGGAATATATTCTTAGAAAGAAATTCAAGTTCTAAAGATTCTGGATATTTTACTTCAGCCAGTGAAAAAGATTCGGGATATTTGACTGCCGCTTGTGAAAAAGATGCTGATTATTGTACTCGAGACAATGAAAAAGATACCAGCTATTATACAGTACCCAGTGAAAACGATTTTCAATATGGTATTGCATTTAATGATATCGAATTTTGTACTGAATGTAGTGAAAATGAGGCCACAAGAGATAATTGTACTGCGTCTAATGCGATAGATCCTGGTTTCTGTACAGCTAGTAGTGTACAGGATGGTGGGTACTGTGTAGCTAGTGTACAGGATGGTGAGTACTGTACAGCTAGTAGTTTACAGGAGGCTGATTATAGTACTGTAAGATCAATATCTGGAGATTATAATTTTGCATCTATGGATGAGGATGAGGTGGAAAATTCATCTATACCGGATCTAGATAAACATCTCAGGTACTTCATCAGAGCTGAAAACTTTAGAATTGTGGATATCGAGATTAATTTTGAAAAAATTGCACGCAATCAATCTCATTGTTCGGAATCCAGCAGGGATATCTAAAGGAGAGAATGTTTTAACAAATCCGTGTTCTGAGGGCTGATATTTTAAAGACTTATATTTTTCTTAATCTGTTCAAAAATCGACATTAAACTAAATCGTGATATTATTTTGCACTTTGTCATAGTTTACTTAGGTCTAGACTAGGCTTTACTTGTTTCCCTTTGTGTAAAAATTTGCACAACTGCATTTCAATTCGCACAAACTTTTTTCCATGAGATTGCAAAACCAAAGATGCAAGGATACACCGTCCTCAAAATTCAAATTAAAACAGTCGCTAATGAAGAAAAATTGGGATTACCGATTGTTTTAAAGAATTTTATTTTTTCCTCGTCCACAGGGATTCAGATGTCCTGGTTTATCAATTAGTGAGTCATCTCTTTCAAAACAATTTTCACCAATAAAATGTGAACTTGGGCTTTATGTTTTAGAAAATATACTGTTAGAGTTTAATCCGATACAGCTCATACAGTCAGAATTTTATAGCTTTTGTGTTCAAACATTTATTTTCAAAATTAAAAGTGCTTACATTAGATATCGATATCAAGGGTTCAAGATTAACAATATCGACACAATAGTTCCGATATTTTTAACTAGTTTAGAGTGTCGTTGTACAGTTGGAATTTGGTTTAGCCAAACTTTAATGTTTTCAAGTAATTTAGAACAGGTAAAAGACCGGCACAGATAGAAATATAGATAGAAGGATAGATATACAGATAGATAGATAGCTAGATAGATCGATAGATAATGGTTCACCGAGTCTGAAGGCTCCGTCTGAAAAAGGGGGATTCACTACATTATACTGTATACAATATATTGCCCTCTATATAACCTTAAACATATTATTACAGAGGAACAGAGGTAAATCAACTGAACTAGAGACATCATACATTCACGATTTTGAAAATAAAACTATTTTTGGATTTTCTGTTATATACAACTCAACAAGCAACAGACTTGATCCTGTTATTTATGGTTTATATTTAGTGATTGCTCCGGGATGCCAGGAATACTGAGAGAGAAGTCTGAGCTTGAAGGACGTTTATCCCTGGATTATCGAAGACAAAGCCAGCTAAGCCTTCTTAGACAGGAGTTAGAAAAGTAAATATATTAATATAATGCATGTTCAAGGAGGTAAACCTTTCAGGATTTATTGTTTGATGTTTTTGAAAAATATCATCATTAAAGCGTAATTTTAGGTGCCTCCATTTACAAAGTGGAATGTCCGATTCACAACGGTACTCTTAAAGTCTACTTGATGTAGCATGCAATATGCAGGAGTTTTTTTCTAGATTAAAATTAATTCTTCTCAACTATTTGGTTTCTCTATAAAAGTGACTTGCGAATTTAAGAATCAAAGACAAATACCAAAATTATCAGAATTCATCACTTTTAAAGAACTACAAAATCTTTCTCGTTATTGCTGAGATATATGTTTAAAGGGTACCACTGTGAATCAGATATATGTTTAAAGGGTGCCACTGTTAATCAGATAAATGTTTAAAGGGTACCACTATGAATCGGATATGCAAGTTAAAACAATTGAGAAAAACTGTTCATGAGTCCAATTTCATGATATTTCCTAATTTAGAATAATGGAGGATAAGATGATAACTGTGAAAGAACTGGAGAATCTTCTTCAAAAGCCCTGTTTCTCCAACCTTCTCTTCCAACTGTTTGATTCAACAAAGAGTGGGTTCCTGGTTCAACAGGACTGGATTGATACTCTTAAATCTTCAACACGGGTAAATAATCATTTTTAGTCCGAGCTCTTTCATATATCTTGGATCTTATATTCTGACAGGTGTATGCTGTATCATATCTTGGAGATAACATTTTTATCATGGATCCTCTATCATTTCATGATGTATCCTCTATCATATCCTGGATATAAATTTTGTATCCTGGATCCTGTATCATATATCTTGTATACTATAAACTGTAGTGTTCTGTACCCTATAAAGTGTAGTATCCTGTATCCTGTATCCTGTATCCAGTATCCTGAGTACTCTAGTAACTCTATAAACTGTTTAACTGTTTAGTTGTTGACGAGTAGAAATGATTTTGTTGAACTAGTTGAAGCTGTAACATATCTTATATCTGGAGATAGCCCTGTAGACCCGGATTCTTTTCACAAGGTTGGTTTATCACATAGAGTTGAAGTGATCAGGGCCTTAAATTCTTCTCATGTCAATCAGAACATTATGTAAACTATAAAAGTATCCATTTCACTGGAATAAAGGTTTGATTCAACAAAATTCAAACTTTAAAATATCAAAGGTTTGTAACAGATTGCTATAATTAGAATTAGAATCCATAAATATTATTGTTTTTTATGTGACGTGCTATTAGAAAATCATTTATAATTTACAAAACAAAATGAATGCAACAGGAACTGATTACTTACCTTAAACTCTAATCCTTATATCTTTGCAGACTGATGGTGTAAACCTTTTCTAAAAAACAAAAGAAATTGTATAGATATAATGATTTTGTTTAGATAATCTCGTGTCGAGGTGTATCCCAGAAGATAATGAACATGACGAAGACGGAGAATGAGTCCTGCTCCGTGGAAGCTTTGATGGAAACCATGATGATGCTCACCTCCAGGTATAGAAAACCGTATCTTTATTTTTACTTCATTCAAAAATAAAAAAAATGTAGAAAATAACATAAATATCACTAAATTAATATAAATATTACATATGTTTTATATAATTACTGAATGACTGTATATTTATTATGTACATTTATATATAAATATAGTTACAAGTTTCACATCTGGTTTAGGTGACAAACTGGCTTCAGTAACCTCTATATATTGTCAAGGGTTTTTTCAGTGATATTTCACTCTAGTACAGCACCTGTTAAAAGAGAACTGTTTTAAGCTTTATTGTTCTCCATGGTTAAAAACTGACAATATAGAAATGTATAATCTCCTAAATACAATAAAGCAAGTCAAAAATATTTAAAATTCTTTTTTTTGAAATTCTCGATTCTTAGGAATCCGTTTAATGTTTAATAGCGTCTTCGCCACAAACTTTATTTTCTATTCCCTATTTCTTTGCAACCCGATGTTGTAGACCTTTGCTGTTTCAAATTATGAATTGTGTTAGATTAAATGGTCTAAGTTTGAACTAGCAAAGGTTTACACTATCAGGTTGCAAATAGATAGGGATTACAAAATTTGACTTTGTAACAAAAATTCAGTTACTCTACGATTCAAAATTGAAAATTGCGTATTTGGGGTTTCAGGTTTTTTTCTTCTTTTACTTTTACTCCTCTCCATAGTTTGTATGAAAGCTTGTTTCTATGCAGTGTCTCTTGGTTTGTAGAATTCTTCAGAAAAGTTTAAAACTGTAAAGTTTTCCTTATAGCTCTTAGATGACATAGAGCAGAATCCATCTTAATCATTTGTCTGTTCTACTCTAATCTGAGTTGAAGTAAACTAACTTCAAATTTTCAAACCTCAAACTAACAAACTGTCAATAATAAGTATTTAAAAATTAGATCAAATTGAAAATATTGATTAGAAATAAATATTCTAGGAATGAACGAGGTGAATCTGAACTAGAGGATTGTATCTCTAGACTACGGAAAATGTTTACAAATGTTCTTGGTCCGGATAAATCTTTCTTTACTCTGGGTAGGTTTAGTTTTGTCAGGTTTGGTCTATGGGTAGGTTTAAACTTTGGATAGGTTTAGTCTCTGGGTAGGTTTAGTCTCTGGGTATGTTCAGTCTCTGGGTAGGTTCAGTCTCTCAGTAGGTTTTGTCCTTTGGAAGGCTTAGTATTTAGATAGGTTTATTTTGTGGGTTTAAGTTTTTAATTAAGGTTTCGTTTTTTGGAAGGTTTAGTATTTGGGTATGATTATTTTTTGGGTTTTGGTTTATTCTCTGGGTCGGTTTATTTTTCGGCAATTTTAGTCTGTTAATAGGTTTATTCTTTGGGTAGGTTTAATATTTAGGCAGGTTTAGTTTATGGGTTTATAATATTATCCTACACATATAAGATTAAAAATTAGAGGAATACGATTTAAATAAATCCAAAGGAATTGAGTTTTTGCCACAAACTCTGATTTTCTAATCATTATATCTTTGTAACCCAATGTCGTAGACCTTACATATTTCAAACTATTAATTCTTATAAATAAAATAATCTAAGTTTGAAATATCAAAGGTTTGCACCATCAGGTTGCAAAGATATTGGGATCAGAAGATTTGAGTTTGTGGCAAAAACTCATTTCCTTTGCACTGAACTCGTATCAGTGAAAGGACGTCAGTCAGATTTAAATTACTTACTGAAGAGTTAGTCGAGTTTATGTGAAAGAGAAATGTAAATGTCTTTCTAAATTGATTTAATCCTAAACTTTGATATTTTCAGATGAATTCCGTCGAATAATCCCGTGCAAGGATGATTTCTTCGTAAGACGGATATTCTCTGTGTTTGACCGGGACGGGAGCGGGACGGTTTCTCTAGCAGAGATGTTAGAATGTGTTTCCAGGTTCTCGGTTCAGGATAATGAAACGAAAATACAGTTTCTATTCAAGGTTACCATACAGATATTAATTAGGTTTTTGTGTGTGTGCTATTTTAATACGTAAAAAAAAAATATTTATCAATGAAATACTTTTTCAAAATTTATTATTAAATTAACTTTTGCAATTATAATCGTTATCAATATTACTATCAATATTAACTTAACCTGTCTGAACGAATAAATATTTAAATACAAAAAAATATTATAATTTTAATGGTTAAATAATTATAAATATTGTTTAGATCTATGACGCTGATAATAATGAACTTTTGACGGAGAAGGAATATGGAGAAGTTCTTAGAGGTAATCATTTTCTTGTTAACAAACATATTCGTGAGATTGTAAGCAAAGGATTAGAGTTTTTTTTTCTTTCAAAAACTCGATTTTTTCACTCTATATCTTTACAATCCAAAATAGTAAATCTTTGATATTTCAAACTATGCATTCTGTTAGATCAAATAATCTAAGTTTAAAAGATTACAGCTTTAGGTTCTAAAGATACAGTGGTATTCAGAAAACTGTAGAAGAGGAAGACGACATTATTTCAATAATTAATTGTATTAGATGTGGTTACAAAGCAAATAGTTTTATTATATCACTTTTTAAGTGAATTGGGCCTTTTTACACCGCACAATTGTGGTGTGTCCTGTGCATTGCACTATTTATAGTCATAAATTGAGTCTAAAAGTCGTCTTTCTATTCCAGAGTTTTCTCTATATTACTGTATAGGGAATAGAAAATTTTTGTTTTAAAAAGCATGTTTCCAATATGTTCTAAATTATAATCTGTTTAGCGTGTATGAAAGAGAATGAGATGGAGTTTAATGAGGAAGAGCTTGCCAACCTTACCAACGCAATATTCCAGGTTCATATTTAGATATTTTTCGTTAATTTTACAACTCAACATTGTCAAAGGATTTGAATCTTTGTCAAAAACTGAGATTTTCTAATCCCATATATCTTTAAAACAACCTTTCTCCGTTTAAAACCCAACCATAGATATTTCAAACTTTATTAATGTAATAATTGATATACATTGCAAAATTTACAGTGTACATACAGCTACAATTTATAATATTCAGGACGGAGTACATGAAAATGGATCTGCCATGACTTTAGATGATTTTAGAAACCAAATGCTAAGGAAAACCCCAAAATAGTAAAAATCCATGTTATTTTCTATCTAAAAACTTAATTCATTAAAGTTCCTATTTTTTGGAGTAAAAAAATACCTCTGTTTTTATTTTACATCCACAAAGTCCAAATAAACGAACATTTGACGTAAAAGGAGAATCAAAAAATTTATTTTTGCAAGAACCTAACTAACGTCAATAACACGTGGATTAAACATCATAGTTTATTTACTATTTTGGTTTAGAGAAGAGGGTTTGTTGAATAATCTAAGTTTAATGTTTAACAAATGGATTCTACCTCCTCCTCCAAGAAAGAAGAAAACTAGAATTGAAATCATGAAAGAGAAATTCACATTCAGACATTTGAGCAGGGATTACTGGACGAATAATATCCCACTCATCTCCTTCATAACTTTCATCATCATCATAAACCTCATCCTTTTCATTCAGAGAGCTGTCTACTTTAAGGTAATTAAAACAAACTAGTTATGCCCCTTTCCCTTCTGATGGGATTGTTCACAAAATGCAATGGCCGCTTGGTTGGTTAGGTTAGGTTAGGGTTAGGGTTAAAGGGACTGTCGACAAAGTTCCATTAAAGAGATACATGTCCGATACCATATAGTACCCTTTATATAAGGTGTCGTGTTCTTTTTCTTAGAAAAGAGACAAATTCCGTTCATTTCCATCCTTGTCTCTGCTGAGTAAATTCTCCAGCAATTTTCAAAGAGAATCCAGAATTTAAAATCATCAATGTAAAAAGTGAAAATTAATGTTTCTTTTTTTCCAGGATTTTAGTTCTTTAAGTGGATTTACTCCGAACATATTCTATATGATATCAAGAGGATGTGCGAGAGCAATACTTTTTAACACCGTTCTTGTTTTATTATTAGGTAAAATTAAAATATTGGGTTGAAATATCTAAAACAACTTTTTAAATTATTTATACCTACTTTTATAATATTGACAATTAAATATGAATAATATATTGTATATTTAAATATTTCAGTTCTCCGGTATACAATTTCTCTTCTAAGAAAGTTTGGGTTAGGAAATATTCTTCCCCTGGATCATAATATTTATCTTCATAAGGTGAATATATATATATATATAATATACATAATACATATCTTTATACAATTTCATTCTCAAAAAAGTATCTAATTTCAAAGTAATCTAGTAAAATTAGTTTGTATATAAATTGATTAGTTGAATAAAATTGATGAATCGCCTCAAACTCTAATTTTTTTACACTTTTCATCTTTGTAACCTGCAACTTTAACAATTAAGCTTGAGAGGATCAAGCAGTTCCTTTCATTATTTGTTGTTGCAAATTTTTTTACGGATACTTTCCGTTTTAAATTCGATTTATATATATTCATTCATATTCATATATCATGACCTCTCATAAATCCAAAATTATTTTTAGGTATGCATTAAAAGCGTTGGTATTTGAATTCTTTTTGGTTAAAGAGTATTTTCTATTTAAGATTTTTTGTACAGCCACAAAACAAATCTTTATTTGTTACATCATACAATCAGTACATTTCTTTAACAGTTCGACAAAACTTACTTTTTTTCATACAAAAAAAAAATTCTATGAAAAATACGTTTATTTTATCAGATTTAAAATTCAACTTAAGTGAAATATGTATTTATTTTTTAGATAACTGGTACATTAATATTCTTCCAGTCCCTCCTTCATTCAATCATGCACTTATGTAATTTTGGAATCAATGTTCAACCTGATCCGGTCAAATTCATCCAGCTCACAGGTATTGATGATGATGATGATGGACTAAGATTTAAAGGGACGCATGTCGTTGATGGCACCCTTTTATCTGCATGAAAAATTGCTTTAAAACGTTGACAGTTCCTGTAAAGAGGAAGTGAATCTCTATTAATATTAGTTTTAAACAACTCTTGATTGAGTTCTCTTTGATCTCAGTTCTCAACCAAAACTTATATTTGCTAATTGAAAAATCCCCTTAGATTTATCAACACTATATATTACAGCTCTTCATAATAGTTTGATATTTTCAAATATAAATACTAAAGTTTTTTAAATATATGCTTGTCCAACGGTACTCGAGCTAATTGTTTATATGAAGGTACCTACTGGTACTCGAGCTAATTGTTTCTATGAAGGTACCTACTGGGAGGGGTACTCGAGCTAATTGTTTATATGAAGGTACCTACTGGGAGGGGTACTCGAGCTAATTGTTTCTATGAAGGTACCTACTGGGAGGGGTGCTCAGAAATGCTTGGATACAACCCTCCTCCTGGTTGTGAAGTAGTTAGTGTCGACAGTAACTCCTCCTCTCTGTGCTCTAACCAGTCCCTGGAGATACCTCCTGGCCTAACCCTTCCCACCAGTATATCAGTCTGCCAGGTACTGATTACACATTTAAAATAGTCTGAGGAAGTTAAAATGATTATCAGGAAATCCACAAATTTCTCTCACAAACTGTTAATTTTCAGTCTTAAATATCTTTTTTTTAATATCGACTTTTTAGTCAGCATTAATCTTATATAGCTTTGAAATAAACAGTTTATCTCTTAGCTTTATATACATATGTCTGGGTCCTAGTTTCTTTTTAAAATCAGAATTTAAAATTTATTGAGTCGATATGTTGTAAAAATAATTGAGATGCTCTTCCTTCTGATGTAGAGTTTTGTGAATTATGATTTTTTTCTTCTGTGTCCCGCTTTCATATTTTTACAGTCTTTGTCTATTTCCCTAAAATAAGAAAAAGAGAAAATATTTTGAATCCTTTTCTCTTCAGATATGTCCGGAAGGTTCTCCATATACCTATTATGACTGGATACTCACAACACGACCTGGAGTATTCGGATTGATCGGAGGAGCAGCAAATCCTACCGGAGTAGCTCTCATGGTTTGCCTAACTATCATGTTTCTCTGCTCCCTCCCTGTAGTTAGAAGAAGTGGACATTTTCAAGTAAACATATTTAACTTGTATTAAAATGTATGATGATAAAGCTCTAAACTTATATATGTATATATATATATATATATATGGGGGTGACATAGGCTTAACAAATTAGAATTTTTTCAAAAATTAAAATTTTCAAAATTTCTTATTTGTTCCCAAAGTGTTTTTAAAATTCCAAGGGTAACGTTGGGCACTTCAGTTAGTAAATATAAAAAAACATTACTCGTTTAACCTCTTATAGAAATTGGCGAAGTTGTCCTTTAGAAAATACATCTTTTATTTAGGTTTTCTACTTCACCCATATGCTGTACTTCCTGTACTTTATCCTCTTGATATTCCATTGCCCGGATTTTTGGAAGATTTTACTCTGCCCGGCCATTATCTGGGCTGGAGAGGTCATCTACAGACTCCTCTCTTCATTCTTTGGGCACGGTCAAACCCAGATCAGTGCCGGAGTTCTTCTACCTTCTCGTGTAACTAATCTGATTATTAAACGACCTGAAGGGTTTAAATTTTCTCCAGGAGACTGGGTTTTTATCAAGGTAATTTTAGTTTCATCGATGAGAAAATAAAATAAGAAAGTTTCCCTGATTAAAAAACAAATAATTTAAATATAGTTTTATATAATGTTGTAATCTCTGATCATAACTCATGAACCCCTGGACCGATCAACCTTAACTTTTTATTGAGGAGCTTTGGAAAACCACGGGATGGTTCTTAGCTTGGTTTGGTTGGATGAGAGGGTTCACTTTTATGGGAAAAAATAGCTAAAATCGTAATTTACGAACAAGCACGGGTAAACAGCGGGAGTAAATATGAGTATACTCTGGGCAACGCTGGGTTGTCAAGCTAGCAGTTTCATATATTTGTTAGGATTTCTTTGTTATGCAGAAGAAGAAGTAAACATAATTGAATTTCAAATTTTCAATGAAATTGTGCGCACACATTTTTCAGTCAAATATTCTCCTTTCAATGCTCTAAAATATTAAAGTTTTGTATTTAAAAATTGTTTAGATTCCATCTGTTTGTAAAACTGAATGGCATCCGTTCACAATATCCTCCGCTCCGGAGGTTGAAGGAGAGTTCACCTTGCATATCAGAGGCGTCGGAGGCTGGACAAACAAACTTTACAAATTCTTCGAGGCCGAGCACGATCGTCAAAACCGAGGCCTTCTCCGACCTTGTAGTAATATTGATCAGTTCTACGGATCTGTAAAGAGAAGGATGACTAAAAGTATAAAAACTATTGCTAGAAAGAATAAACCTGAAGTTGACGCAACCTTCATGAATATAGCAAACAAATATGCTGTAGACGAGGAACGGCAGAAGCAGAGAATGGCCAAGAGAGCGGAGAAGCTGAGAAAGATGAGCCTGGAGATGAATAATCAACATTGGCATGATGAATGCAATGACCTTGTGAATAGATCTCTCCCTAGTGCCAGATATCTTAGTATGAAGCAGAGAGTTATCAGATACGACACAGTTGAAAACTCTGATAGTTCAGAAAACTCTAGTACCTGTGATAAACAAGAGTTTAGTAGCAATAACGACCTGGAGAAAGGTTTAAGTGAAACTAAGATAATAGGACGAACCACCAAACTCCAGAAGCCCCTGGAGATATATGTAGACGGACCCTTTGGCTCTCCATCTAGTAATATATACAGAGCTGAGCATGCAGTTCTCATAGGTACTGGAATAGGAGTCACACCCTTTGCCTCCATCCTTCAATCCATTATGCTGAGATACTATAGTGTTAAACAAACCTGTCCAAACTGTAAATATCAGTGGTCGGACAGGTTACACACAACTATGCTCAATCTGAGAAAAGTAGATTTTTTCTGGATAAACAGAGATCAAAAAAGTTTTGAATGGTTTGTAACCTTGCTCTCTAAACTAGAGCTGGAGCAGGCGGTTCATGGAGGAGAGATGGAAAGGTAATCTAAAAAATTAGTTTTTTTTTATTTTGAAAATTATCTAGTAAATTAAGAAAGGAAAAGAAAAGAAAAAAATTTCTTTTGGAAATAGATGAATGATTCTTGCGTACTTTTTATAGAATAAGATAAAAGGGTCTATTTGCTGCCTAAGTAAATAGAATAAAAATATATTTATTTCCGTAGATTCCTGGATATGCATATGTATGTAACCTCAGCACTACAAAAATCCGACATGAAAGCAGTTTCCCTCCAGCTTGCTCTAGATATACTTCACAGGAAGGAGGATAGAGATCTTGTTACAGGGCTTAGATCTAGAACTAATGCAGGTATACCTTACTTTAATGACGACCTGTAACTCTTTAAAGGGAGTGTTCGCGAAAATTAAAAGGATTATAGACTTAGGTCGAAAAATATTCGATGGTGATTACTACTAATCTTGCTTCTATATGTTGCGTCTATAAGGAGAAAATTGTTTAAAACTAATCTTATTTTAATCTTATCTTTTCCTGGCAGTTTGTTTGTTAGATTTTCCTTTGTTTCATGATTTTATCCTAGAACGTTTTTTTTTAATTTCCTTACTGAGCAAAGACGATATTTACAGGATTTTCTTGTTAGATAAAAATTGAAGGGTTCTGTTGTAAATGTTGCATGGCATTTTGACGAGAAAATCCCTTAAAAGTAACATAAGAAAGTTTATTATTAAATTTGAAAATATATTTAGGAAGACCAAACTGGGACAAAGTGTTTACAAAACTACGGATGGAGAGGAAAGGAGATATTACTGTATTCTACTGCGGAAACCAAACACTGGGCAAAATTCTGAGAAGCAAATGTGAACAATTTGGATTTAGATTCAGGAAGGAGGTTTTCTGAACACTTTCCAGTATATTGAACACTTTCCAGTATATTGAACACTTTCCAGTATATTGAACACTTTGCAGTATATTGAACACTTTGCAGTATATTGAACACTTTCCAGTATATTGAACACTTCCCAGTTTATTGAACACTTTCCAGTATATTGAACACTTCCCAGTATATTGAACACTTTCCAGTATATTGAACACTTCCCAGATTATTGAACACTTTCCAGTATATTGAACACTTTCCAGTATATTGAACACTTCCCAGTATATTGAACACTTTGCAGTATATTGAATACTTTCCAGTATATTGAACACTTTCCAGTATATTGAACACTTTCCAGTAACGTTGAACACTTTCCAGTATATTGAACACTTTCCGGTATATTGAACACTTTCCAGTATATTGAACACTTTCCAGTATATTGAACACTTTCCAGTATATTGAGTATTTTCCAGCATATTGAACACTTTCCAGTATATTTAACACTTTCCAGTATCCTGAACATTTTTTAGTATCCTGAACCTTTTTCAGTACCCATTATACTTTTCAGTATTCTTAACACTTGCCAGTATTTTTATCTATTATTTATTGTTTAATTCCAAGGAAAACTTTATTCTTTATTCTTAAAAACGATATAATTCATTTTAGTAAAACTTTACCTTATATTCTGAAAAACTATACCCTACAACCTGAAATATTGTATCCTGTTCTTAAAAACTGTATCTCAAAATTTAGAAAACAGTATATTTTATTTATGCATATACCTAAAAAGTGATATCCTGTATTATAAACGATAATCAATATTCTGGTGATAATAAATACTCTCATAAAATATGTGATTTGTAATTCTAAAATAATTTTGTTATTTGTTTTATCCGTTTATATTGTAATTGAAAAAAAAATTGTTAAATATAAATAAATATAATTTAGACTTATGTTAACCAGGTTATTTCAGAGATAAAAGGTAGAATTACATTTAAACTTGATGACACATCTTTTTATGGGAAATACAGAATCTAGATTTCTAAAGAAGGTTCAGCGAGCACCTAAATCATTTATCTAATAAGAAAAGGGGGCGGAGGGCTAGAATATTTTTTAAATAAAATAAAAATAAAGAAATGACAATATAAACTTACGCAAATTTGTTTGTTTCAATTGGTGGATTTTCAGAATCATTAAAAAATCAAACTTTTTACTCGGACCTTCTTTAGTGTCATGTGATTTACGTGACAAAAAAAATTGGCCCCGGTTGTAACGTTTCTACGTTTATTATGGATAAAAATATATAATCAAGCCAAATTTATATTAATCAAAAATTAAGGATGGAACATTAAAACACCTTAAAGAAAAGAGATTGTTGGAATATTTTTCTCCAGTTCTAAAAAGCACATATTTCTAATTTTTTTTTACGAAATGATCACACAAGTAAAATAAAATAAATGTAGATTTTATATTAAAATTAATAAAAATCATTGTTTTTATTTAGAAGTGAGGGAAAAAATTTAAGGATTTAAGTGGTCTTCCACTAAAATCTGTTCATTGATTAGTAATAACATATTTTATAAAGTTTTCCTTATTTGTGGATTTTAATTTATATTTCATTATTAGAATGATAAAATAAGAAACGTATCACATTTGCATTTTTATGAACATATTTTATTACAAATTAACAATTGAAAGCTATAATAAATGTGATGCATTTATAACATAAAACTACAATTTAAAGGGTTATTTCACAATTTATATGCAAATGCGTTGAAGAAAGGAAAAATAGTTTCATGGATTAATATTTTTTTTGTTGAACCAGAAGATCCATTCTAGTGATGGTTGGTTCAGTTGGTTCAGTTGGTTCAGTTGGTATTGTTGTGAATCTGAATTGAAATTATGTCTGCAGCCACTTTAAACATCTCCATTGATTCTATATTAATTAAACTGCTTTGTAGGTTTGTAAACTTTGAAGAAAGGAAAAAAGAAATTTACAAAATGATCTTTAAAAAGAAAATTTAAAAGCTTTAAAAGTAATGCCTCCAAAATCAAGAATCCGAGGTTTTTTTCAGCAAATCTCCAGATATATATCAAATGTGCATCCAGGCACCCCCCCCCCCCCTCGTATGCCCATGCCCTCAGAGAACATATATTTAAAAATGTTGCTATAGATCGTTTTTAGATAGTTTTTCCATATTTTTTAAGGATAAATATATGTCAAAGCTTAATAAAAGCAAACTTTAAAATAATTCAGTTTTGAAATCTTGAATTTTTATTGAATTTTTGAAAACGATCCACAACGTTTGAAATCGAATAACAACACTAACAACGCTAAAAGACCTGTAGAAATACTACATCTCTCCTAGCTCCAGTTCCTATAGCTTTGCACACTCTGCAATGCACAGGCACACAATTTGGTGGGTCTGTCATTGAGACAAAGTAGAAAGTTGTCAGAATTGAACACTTTTCCTGAGAGAAGAACGAAGATATCTTCTTTATTATTCCTTAGAGAAGGTTCACCGTCCTAAATTAGGCATTGACCTCATTAATTATTTAATCTATCTTAAAATTATCTTCAATTTAACACGAAATGTTAAAGTTCTTAACAGAAGAAAGAAGTAATCTTTAACAATGGTTGTGTTTGTAAGTAAAAATCATATTTCGATTGATACCGAAACAATAAGTTTTATAAAAATTAGTGTGCCTTCTACAGGGTGAAGATCTATCTTAAACTTTTTTTTTAAATAAGAAGAAAAGAGGAAAATGTATTTTTCTTATATCTAAGTTTTAGCCGTGGAACTACAAGGGAAGTAAACCCGGTTTACAAAGATTTAAAAAAAGTAACTCTTTACTGTTGAGTGAATCCTGGAATATCTATCTATCTCCAGTTGGTCCTGGTACATGGAGTAGAGTTTTAACCTTGGCATTGAACCTTTGCCTAGGATCTTCATTTCTTATCTAATTAGTATTAATTAGTTTATTCTGAAAGAATACTCCTCACTTTAATATTTATGTATTCCTCCCTTGTATTATCATCATATATCCACCATAATCCTTACTTGTTTAGCTGTTTTCTTCCAGATATTTTAATCCTAGTCTCTGCTCACTTTTTCCATTTTAATATTATTTCTGGTTGATTTTCTTCCATGTTAGTCTAGTTCCCTGTTTTATACTAAACATCTTTATTTTGTTTTCTTCTTTATCTTTAAGTCTTTAACTCTTAAAACTAATCCATGGTCATCTTTTAAAATTTTGACAATTTTGACAATTTATTCTTTAAAATTTTTAACCTCTGGGGATATTCCTCCTTAACCAATTCTAAACAAGTCTCGTTTTATCTATTAAAAAACGTTCCATGTTCTAATGTTTGTTCCGTTTATCTGCCTGGAGCGCGATTGTCCACGATTTTTGGCCATTCCTTACAATTTCAGATACATATCGATACAATTGGTTAGATGTGAAAGATTCTTTTATTGTTTTAAATCAAGTAAAAAGTGTAGGTATGTGTATATGAACCTTTGGTTTTTTTTCTCGCAAAACTTATTAAACACACCAAGTGTACATTGATTCATACACAGAAACATACATAGTTACATATATACAGTGCACCTTTATAAAATAGGATTTATGTGTATTACATATTTAGTTTCCTGTGATTAACCGTGTTGTTTTTAAATGATAAAAACACTATGCTAACTTTATATAAATATATATATATATATATATATAAGCGACGGTAGATAAAGGAACTAAATGTATACCTTGTTAGTAATCTTTAAACAGGTGTGCAGTATACACACATATACACTATACAGTATTCAGTTCCCAGTATTCAGTACATATACAATAATAGAAGTATTTAAGACAAAAGGCGAAATATTTATGTTTGACCGGTCAAATTGTGATTGAAAGTCACAACTCTCTGGAAAAAGAGAAGAACTGTTGAATCCACGTGCAAGTGGAATACATTTAGTGCAATACATCCAGTGCAATATATTAGTGTAATACGTGCAATACATCCAGTACAATATAATTAGTGTAATACGTGCAATACATCCAGTGCAATACAATTAGTGTAATACGTGCAATACATCCAGTGCATTGCAATTGCGTGCAATACATCCAGTGCATTAAATTCAGTGGATTACATTCAGTGCAATACGTCAAGTGAAATACTTCTAGTGCAATAAGTTCAGTGCAATAAATCCAGTGCAATACATCCAGTGGAATACATCCAGTGGAATACATCCAGTGGAATACATCCAGTGGAATACATCCAGTGGAATACATCCAGTCGAATACATCTTGTGCAATACGTTCGGTGCAATAAATCAAGTGCAATACATCCAATGCAATACATCTTATAGTGCAATACATCGAGTGGAATATATCCAGTGGAATACATCCAGTGGAATACATTCAACGGAATTCATCCAGTGGAATACATCCAGTGGAATACATCCAGTGGAATACATCCAGTCGAATACATCTTGTGCAATACGTTCGGTGCAATACATCCGATGCAATACATCTTATAGTGCAATACATCCAGTGCAATATATCCAGTGGAATAAGTCCAGTGCAATACATCCAGTAAAATACATCCAGTATAATACATCCAGTACAATGCATCTAGTACAATGCATCCAGTATAATACATCCAGTGCAATACATCCAGTACAATGCATCCAGTAAAATACATCCAGTGCAATACATCCAATAAAATACATTCAGGAATACATATAGTGCAATACACTTTATATTTCTTTCGCCAAAATGCATACATTCAGTATTCATTACATTCATCCCTATATATTCGGTGAAGTACATTTAGTATACATTTAGTATAGTCTATTGAGTACAAATACTGTATTTTGCACATTCCGTACACTACAATTAGTTAAATATTTAGTATATTCAGTACAAAACAATTAGTTAAATACATTTAGTACAGTGCTTTTAGTTCAATACATTTAATAGACTACCCTTAGTAAAATATTAAGTGCATTCAGTGCAGTACAATTAGCTAAATACATTCATTACAGTGCATTTAGTACAATACATTCAGTTCAGTACATTCAACAAAAAACCTTCAGATATTAAAGATACAATTACAAATTTTACTAAACACTAAAAATCCATCCAGAATGTAGAGAAAAGTTATTTGTTACAGATTGAATATGTTATTTTCCCGATAAATTGACCGCATTTTTAATGTTTTTGGATTTATTTAAAAAGAGAATTAATTTAATTTTATTTATTTTCTTCGTTTACTTAGTTTACTTATCAACTAAACTTTGCTTAAAGTATTGCGCTTTCTTGATAACAAGTATTATTCATCTATTCTACCTTATAGATAGTTAGTCATTCAACATTTTACTTAGATAGTTAGTTATTCAACATTTTACTTAGATAGTTAGTCATTGAACATTTTACTTAGATAGTTATTCAACATTTTACTTAGATAGTTAGTTATTTAACACTTTACTTAGATAGTCAATCATTCAAAACTTTACTTGATAGTAGCACTTTACTTAGATAGTTAGTCATTTAATATTTTACTTTGATAGTCAGTCATTCAACACTTAACTTGATAGTAGCACTTCACTTAGATAGTTAGTCATTTAATATTTTACTTTGATAGTTAGTCATTCAATATAATTCATTTATGGTTTAAAATGAGGAAATAAAAAGCACAACATAAATAAGCGCAATGCTATGCAATTTATTTAGCTTCAACTTTAAACCCCCTTTTTACTTGTACAAATAAAAACCCATCAAAACGATTGGTTACCAATTACAGTCTTTGGCACAAACTCAGATTTTCTAATCCCCATATCTTTGCAACCAAATGTCGTAGACCTTTGATATTTAAAACTATTAATTATATTAGATCAAATAATCTAAGTTTGAAACATTAAAGGTTTATACTATCAGGTTGCAATGCTGTAGGGATTGGAATTTTTGAGTTTGTGCCAAAGACTTAATTTCTTTATCTCAATATCTCTTTCAGAATAAAAAGATGTTTATCATGTAATGAAACTCCGATTGAACAAGTTGTGCGAATAATCTAAGGAAAACTATGTTAAATATTATAAATATACAATTTACATGCATCACTGCATCTGAGATCTTTGATTCAGATTTTTTCCAGGAAATATTATTTAGTTTTGCTTGATGATATTCAAAAAATCCCCCTAAGAAGTTTTAAGAAAAAAATTATATAAAAGTTTACTTTCTTATAAAGACATAATAGATTGTATAATAATTATAAGTAATCAATATAATAAAACAAGACATTCATACATATGTTGCCAAAGGCCGGCCAAACGGCTGGACCGATTGGGCTGAAATTTTGTGTGGACAGTGTACACTCATGGGTGGCCGGGGGTAGTATAGGCTAAAAAATATAGATTTTTCTTCAACGCCAGGCCCTTCAGCTAGTCTTAAAATAAAAATATAAAAAATATTGAAATAATATCATACTACCTTGAAAAACATTATCATTAATATCAATTTCCTTTTCATTTATTTGTTATTATAATTATTAGATTAGCGATAAATCGATCTGTGAGAACCTAGAGAAGAGGTATAGGGACAACTGGATCTTCACCTACATCGGTCCTGTTCTCATCTCCGTCAACCCCTTCAAGAACATGTCCTACTTCACCCAGAAGGAGGTCGACATGTACCAAGGAGCGGTAAGACTCAATATACGAAAAAACAAAGAAAAAAGAAAAATGGTGTCCTAAACTTTTGAGATTTAACCTATAGAGAATTTGTTCATTAAATGTTTATTATAAGATATCAAGGTATCATATGGTTGTAACTATTTAAATTGTTTTTTTTTGATAATTTTTTTGAAGTTTTAAAGGAATTGCGTCTTTCTTTGCCACAAAGTCAAATTTTCTAATACTTATATTTTTGCACCTTGATGGTGTAAACATTTTAAATTTCAATCTTAGATTATATAATCCAACAGAATTCATAGTTTTAAAACAGGGTGTCTCACGAAACATGACAGCTGGTGAATAGTTTTAAATGTTTTCCATAATTTGCGAAATTATCTAATACCAAACAGAAAAAAATATGACATGGAAGTTTGGAAGTCATATTTTAGTAAATTTGATTTCAAGGTAAAATAAATTTGATTAAAAGATTTTTTTTAACAAAATAAACTGCAAAAAGTTTTCAATATTTAATACAGTTTATGGAAGAAGACATTTAAAACTATTCATGAACTGTCATTTTTCGTTTTTCGTGGGACACCCTGTATTGGGTTGCACAGATATTATTATTATAAAACTAGAGTTTGTGGCAAAACTCAATTACTTTACTATTTTTTGCTAAGAACAAACTATGTCACAAGATAAACCCATTTACAAAAATCTACTTCTAAAAAATCAAAAATATCAAGATTTTGGAAGACGATATTTATTCTCTGTGTTCAGGCTCAGTATGAGAATCCTCCACATATTTACGCTATAGCAGATAATATGTACAGACACCTCACTACAGATAATGAAAACCAGGTCCGCTTTCTACTGGATCCAAGTACCCATATATCCATGTATCCTTCTATGCCTGTATCCCTGTATTCCTCTTGTATCTATGTATCCATGTTTCCTACATATTTTTATGACTGTATTTCTAAAGCTTGAAACCTTTAATAGCTTTAATCAGTTTTCAATTTTATCCCTGTAATCCTGTATCTGTACAAAATACGACATTCTAGCACTACTCTTGTATCCCTTTATCCGGCCTTGGATCCATGTATCCCTGTATTCCTATATCCCTGTATCTCCGTTTTGTATCCGTGTATCCCAGTTTCCTTTTATCCCTGTATCCCTGTATCCCTGTATCCCTGTATCCCTGTATCCCTGTATCCCTGTATCCCTGTATCCCTGTATCCCTGTATCCCTGTAATCCTGTATTCCTGTATCCCTGTATCTCTGTCTCTAGTGTGTGATGATATCGGGAGAGTCTGGAGCAGGGAAGACTGTGAATGCAAAATATATCCTGGATTATATAAATACTGTATCAGGGGGTGGAGATAGATCAACCCATGTTAAGGTAAACATTTTCAGTAGGTGCAATATTACCAACCAAGAATGAAACTGTAAAGACTCTTAAAACCTGACGCTTTCAAGTTAACTTAACATTTCTGTCTTGAATTTGTTTGTTTTTTATGGTTTATTTAATGATTTGGCAAAGAAAGAACCTATTTTACAACTGCAGAAAATCATGAATGTATGTAAGGAACCAGCCAGTATAAACTCTGCACGATCTTCTCTTAAGTCTTATCCTTTGTGGGTAACCCTGTAGATTTACTCCTTACAAGAATATTAACGTCAAAATTTGACTAAAAATCCGGGGTCTAAATCTACACATAATTATGTAAAAAAGAAGATTTTGGAGAAATAATGAGGCTTCACGCTTATACTTTTATAATATTTAGGACGTTGTAAAGTATTCAAATCCTCTTCTAGAAGCATTTGGAAACGCTAAAACTTTGAGAAACAATAACTCTTCAAGATTTGTAAGTTTTTATTTTATTTAAATCTTTATCATATATTCATAGTACAACAAATCCCGATTTGGTTTCGTTTTTATTTTTAAATTAACTTTTTGAAATTGAATCCGAAAAAATTCAAAACATTTGTTTTTTTAAAGTAATCTTGTTAATTTCGATTTTTGTTTTTTTCACATTGAGGTGAAATTATTCGAAAAATGTTGATGTTACAAAATTCATTATTTTTCTTTTTTTATCATTACTTCTGTGCAGTTTTGACTTCTAAAATAATGTTTATCCAACTTTTCTCTGGTTAAGGGAAAATATATCGAGATATTCTTTAACTCTGGTCAACCTGCAGGAGGAGAAGTTTCAAACTTTCTTCTAGAGAAATCCAGGGTTGTTCTACAGGTATTGCAAATATTAATCCAGGGTTGTTCTACAGGTATTGCAAATGTTAATCCAGGGTTGTTCTACAGGTATTGCAAATATTAATCCAGGGTTGTTCTACAGGTATTGCAAATGTTAAACCAGGGTTGTTCTACAGGTATTGTAAATATTAATCCAGGGTTGTTCAACAGGTATTGTAAATGTTGATCCAGGGGGGTTGTTATACAGGTATTGAAAATGTTAATTGTTTCTCTGCAATTCGCTCTTTTTTATCGTTTTCAAATTTTCTTGAATTTAAAAATAATAAATCTTGCCTCCTTTTTCCTGGCAAAATTTTTCATATTTAACGGTCCATAAATCTTTCCTGGGGTCAAGTGTGTTGCCATAAACAAAAATTGAACTTTATTGACGCTTTTGGGTACAGATATATAAATATATATAGAAGATGATGTGATACCATGTTCATTAAAAAAAAATTCTTAAAAGTTGAATTAGCGTTTAGCCAATACAGAAATATAAAACTTTTAAAGGAAAATTGATATTAAATCATAGAAATGTTCTTTTTTATATTCTAGAATCCTGGAGAGCGGAATTTTCATATTTTTTATCAAATGGTGAAAGGTTCAAGCAGAGATTTCAAGGTATTATAATGTGAAGTCATAAATGTTTAAAATTTTGAATGAACGACACAAAATAACTAAATTAGTTCTTTCCTTAAATTTTATCATTTATTTCATCACTTTTTAAATTGTTTAGTTATTATTATTATTTTCAATAATATTAATAGCATCATTATTATCAATTTTATAATTATTATTATTATCTTAAAAGCGGAATAACTTGAGAAACAAAAAGAAACAAAGACGACCTAGGTTACTCCGCTTCTTTGGTATAATCACTGTATAGAGTTGACATATATCTAGGATATCTGTGGAATATCTGATGATCTGGATTACTACGGATACTTGGAGAACACTGAGTCCAGTGCTCCTGGTATAGATGATACCAAGGAAAATATTATATTACTTAAACATTCAGAATCTCAAAAATATGAATAAGTTATGTTGTCAAAACTTTTTTATAAAAAAGGAGCGATTTCTAACAAAATATGACAATTTAAGGGACTGTAAATGAAAAGTGAAAGGGGGTATAGGATGAAACCTGAGAATACCAGGCGTTGAACGATATATATAAGCAAAGAGAATAGAATATATACATTCTATTCTATTTTCTTTGTATATAAGACACCTATCTGATGTTCCTGTCTCGAGAAATTGATATAAAACTGCGTCAAAATTATACGAAAATTCATGTTCATTGCTTGGATAAAAAATTCTATAATTATACATTTTTGTATAAAAGTAGTAGGTTTAAACAGATCATATTCATCAAATACCCAACAAATCTGAAATCGATTTAATCCCATAGAAGTCTGAGAATCTTAGGGTTTTTAATTTTAATTTTTCCTTTAAAGTCCCTTTAAGTAAAAAAGTTTATTGATCTTTTTATATTAAAGTTAACAAGAAATTAAACATGTAATGGAACTGATGGACGTAACTTCAAGTGCCATTCTTTCAAAAGATGGGCATACCAGATTCTCCACGGTACCCTTTAAACAGAAATCTGAGCAAAAAAGATTATCAAAATATCCTATTTTTTTAATCTAAAATGATAACTTCTAATTTTGGGTTATTTATGAATTGACCTATGGATGTTATGCTTTTTTTTGATGAAAAAACGACTATATCATTCCCACTGTTACTCAGACAAAGATTTCTAGAATACCGTTCTCAATCGGACATGCCAGTATCAAAATGGAGGGTCACTTGAAATTATGACCACTTTTTCTAAAAGTTCATTGATTCAAAAACAGCATTATTATTATTTTGAGGACTACTGTCTTGCAAGTTTTTGTAAATATCAAAATATATTATAAATAAAATCAGGACTGGAATGAAGTTCTCAGTGCAATGGAAACCATGAACATGTCTCGGGTATGTAACTAAAAGATACATCGAATTCGTGTTCTTGAAATATAATTTATTGCACCCTTGGGATATTCAAAATGTCGTGTCCTCAATCCTTCGATCTTCAAACCTTTTACAACTATAATATATTGTACCCTTGATCTTTTCTCTTTAAAGCATATTGTATCCTTGATCTTTTATCTTTAAAGCATATTGTATCCTTGATCCTTTATCTTTAAAGCTTATTGTATCCTTGATCCTTCATCTTTAAAGCCTATTGTATCCTTGATCCTTTATCTTTAAAGCTTATTGTATCATCGATCCTTTACATCTATAAATCCTTGATTTTATCTGTAAAGTTTATATCCTAGATCCTTCACATTATATAGTAGAAATTCTATCCTTGATCCTTTATCTTTTATATAGGGTGCATCCTTCCTCTCTGATAAATTGTATCCTTATCCTGTATTCTATTGCATATTTTGTGTCTTTGATCCTCTTATTGTATCTAGGAGGATCAGCTGGATGTGATATCTATTGTATCTTCAATCCTTCATCTGGGAAATATTTCCTTCTCTGAAGGACAGAACGAGGTTGCAAGTGTATATCTCCAGGATAGTTTAGATACTCCGTCCCAGCTTCTCCTGGTAGACCCTGGATCACTAAACCAATGTCTTGTAACTCATATTATGGAGACCAACGGGTAGGTAGACAGTACAGTACAATACAATATATTTACATACATTGCGTGAGGGGAAGAAAAAGTGAATCTTTCCGAAATTCCTCCCATGAGTTTATAAAATTTTAAAAGAGACTAATTTTTTTATCAATTTAAAGATTAAATATTATTATAAAGATTATCTCTTAAAGAGAGTGACCGGCAATGTATGTTAGTTGAACTAAGAGTGAATAGTAATGTGGAGAAATTCTTTAGGATTCATTTGAGACATTTAAAACGTTTTAATGAAATATAATTTCTATGACATAGTCAAAGTTTGATGTAATTTTTCGCTGCGGTGTTATGCACTACCTTAGACATTGGACCGGACTTATAATTTGTCTGTGGTTTTCGTAAAGCTAAAATATGTCAAAGGAGTATAGAAAACATTGTAAGTCTTTAAAACTTGGTAAATTTTAACCTCCTTCTTTGTATCATAAAATTGTTGAAGATACTAAAGATTTAAACAGTCTTGGTTATATAATATTTTGAATTTTGAATAAATTTCTCAGTATCTCGGTCAATTCTTTTGATGCTACCAACACTGTGGAGAAAATGTTATGTTTACAAGATTTCAGCTACAGTATCTCATTTTTGTTAACTCCAGGGCCCAAGATCTACCAAAGTACTTCTTGGATTTGGACCCTGAACTTCACTTCAAACTTTTTAAAAAGTACAAATTATTTGTATACAATGAAGGATCAGCCAGAATGGAAATTTGTTATAGTAATTCCTTAAGTACACTATGCTCAGGTTTTAAAAATGTCCTCACAAATCTAGGGTCCACTCAGATATAACAGCTGTGAGGCACACCAATAAAATTACATTTACGCTAGCCCAGAATACCATAGATTGATAGGTAGAAGCATATCTATAAGCGGTCCGTGTTCAAAATCATCAATTTGAGTAGTTACGTCCTTAGAATCGATTTTTTTTTAAATTATTTAATGTATCAAACATTCTACAGTAAACTAATTAGATGTTTAGAAACATATTTCTCAATAGAAATTTGTCAATAAATCAATGTTAGAATCAATAATTTTTTTTTATCATTTTATTGATTTTTTTTATGAATTTGGTCGCAGATTTCTACAAATTCTTCAAATATCGTCTTTTGAATAAAAATTCCAGATAATCTACAGAACATTTTTGTGAACAATGAGAGATTACAGAAACTAATAACTGAAGAAGATTACTTATTTTTGATGATAAGAGTTAATTTTTATTTGCTCAACCTGTTCCTAAGCAAGTAATAAGTTTACTGTAGAGTTTGTGTTACATTTTTTGTTGTCGTTATTTAATAATTAAAAAAACGATTCTCAGAACGTAATCACCCAAATGGATGATTCTAAAAGCCGACTTTGCGCTCAATCTCAGTATTATACATCATTAAAATGTTTTATATGTCTCGCTCTCAAACAAATTCTCCATAATACTACACTCTCAGTTCAACTACCATGCATTGCCGGTCACTCCCTTTAAAGGAACAGAAAACATAATTTTAATTGACCCTCTACGCAACGATGGCAATTCTCGATTCCCTTAGAAGCTTTGCCTGATCAAGAATAATTAGGATAACAAATAATTTAAACTTTAAAACTGATTTTTTTCATTTGTGTTTTTTTCTTAGGTCCGCGAGTATCTATACTTCTTGATTTTCATAAATTTTATAGAAAACTTACAAATAATTTATGAAGATTATACCATACATTGCATTAACTCTGTAAACAGTATGTATGATTAAACTGAGTTAAGCAAAAATATTATTTACCATTTCTTCTGCTCTGTCAATAATTGCACATTATTGATCAGATAAAGGTTTCAGGGATTGTTCTGAATCGGGCATTGTCATCTTTACAAGGGTCAAATGAAATTACGCTTAGAGTCCCTAAATTTTTTTTTATTTCAGAGAAGTGATAAATGTTTCCCACAGTGTTCAGCAAGCTGAACAGACCAGAGATGCGCTTAGTAAAGCATTGTACAGCAGACTCTTTGATTATCTTGTTCAGGTAGAAACACTTAGGTTTAAGGTCTTGGATCTTGTTCAGGTAGAAACACTCAGGTTTAAGGTTCTGGATCTTGTTCAGGTAGAAACACTTAGGTCCTGGATCTTGTTCAGGTAGAAACACTTAGGTTTAAGTTCCTAGATTATGTTCAGGTGAAACACTCATGTTTAAGGTTCTGGATCATGTTCACGTAGAAACACTCAGGTTTAAGGTCCTGGATCATGTTCAGGTAGAAACACTTAGGTTTAAGGTCCTGGATCTTGTTCAGGTAGAAACACTTAGGTTTAAGGTCCTGGATCATGTTCAGGTGAAACACTCAGGTATAAGCTGGATCATGTTCAGGTAGAAACACTCAGGTTTAAGGTCCTGGATCATGTTCAGGTACAGTGAAACCCTTAATAACGAATACATCGAAAGAATTCATCAAATGTCATATTCTTCACTTTCTGATAATGGAATGTTGCAGATATTTAGTTTTTAAATTAAATGATTATATGGAACTCTTTAAAACTGTTCCCGCATATTCATGGCTAATTATTTTTGCAAATACTGAAAATTACGTAATATAGTATAAAACTCATTGAAAAAATGTCAAGACGCCATTTGATAAATTCTTCCGATGTATTCGTTATTACGGGTGTCACTGTAGAAAAACTCATGGTTTAAGCTGGATCATGTTCGGGTGAAACACTCAGGTTTAAGGTCCTGGATCTTGTTCAGGTAGAAACACTTAGGTTTAAGGTCCTGGATCTTATTCAGGTAGAAAAACTCAAGTTTAAGGTCCTGGATCATGTTCAGGTAGAAACACTCAGGTTTAAGGTCCTGGATCTTGTTCAGGTAGAAACACTCAAGTTTAAGGTCCTGGATCTTATTCAGGTAGAAACACTCAAGTTTAAGGTCCTGGATCATGTTCAGGTGAAACACTCAGGTTTAAGATCCTGGGTCTTGTTCAGGTATAGAAACACTCAAGCTTAAGGTTCTGGATCATGTTCAGGTGAAACACTCAGGTTTAAGGTCCTGGATCATGTTCAAGTAGAAACACTCAGGTTTAAGGTCCTGGATCTTGTTCAGGTAGAAACACTCAAGTTTAACGTCCTGAATCATGTTCAGGTGGACGTAATTTTAAGAAAAGGAAATTAGTTTTTGTCACAAACTCAAATTTTTATCTATATATCTTTGCAACCCGATTAGAAAATTTAAGTTTGTTGCAAGTACTCAGTTCCTTTCATTAAAGAAAAAAAATCATCATAATTTTTGCCCCGCCGAAGGTTTTAAGGATACCAATGGGAAAGGTGAAAAAAAACTACAGTTTGACATACGAAGTGATGCAGTGTGAAGGGTGCATCCTCTCAAATACTATTTACGATATATAACACGCTGCTTCAAAACTACAAGTAAAAAACTTTACACATTTATAGAAAATCCTTTCTTAGAGAATCAACGTAGCAATGAAGAACAGTGGAGGCACTAGCAGTATGCATAGCCTTGGTATTCTTGACATCTACGGATTCGAGATATTTGAAAAGAACGGGTTCGAGCAGTTCTGCATAAACTTCGTCAACGAGAAGCTCCAGCAGATATTTATAGAGCTGACTTTAAAGAACGAGCAGGTAATTTTATCTTAATATTTTAATTCTGTGTTAAAATGTTCAAATGTCAACTTCCTGTGCGTGCCAGCCTGACGCCGTTCCTTCCTACATTGGTCGACAGCTTGACGTCTCCTATATTGGTCGTCAAATGTACGGAGAAATATCTATCTATCAGATAAGAAGTGAGCATAAGACATCTAGCGGCCAACATATCGTCCCCTAAAGTACGTAAAATACACGACCACTTTCTATGGAGAAAACGGGCTCTGGGTAGTATACAGTGAGAACCAAAAAACTCTAGGATAGTAAGACGACTTTTAGACCCAAGTAATGACTTTAAATAGTCCAATGAACATAGGACACAGCAACTGTGCAGTGCTAATAGAACCATTTCACAGCAACCTTCAGTGCTAATAGAACCATTTCACAACAACTGTTCAGTGCTAACAGACCCATTTCACTTAATAAGTGGTTTAGTTCCGTACTAGTTAAACTATAAGCTTTATTAAAACAATAAACATCACTTAAGTATTGCTATATTGTGGTCTTCCTATTCCACAGTTTTCTGGTTCTCACTGTATATATTTGAGGGGGACATAAAGTCTTGAAATTTGAAGATTAAGAAAGCTCCACATTTTGATGAAACATCTGTTAAAACAAATGGATTTATTGCATTAAATATTCTTAAGAAATTTATACCTCAATAAATTCCAACTTAGTGCCTTTCCTAATTCTATCATGAACCCTACACCACAAGCATTGGATTTTGGATTTCTACATCAGTTCAAAATCTTAGTGTTCTTTTCGTATCTAAATGACAGATAATTCTTGGAAAAAGTTATCTATATGTATGCAGTGTAATATCTGTTTGTTTGGATGTCCGATCGGTGATCATAACTCATAAACCCCTGCACCGATTTTCCTCAAAATTTGACCGGGAAACTCGGGAGAAACACGGAAATGTTTTTAGCTCATGGTTTTTAGATTCGACTTAAATAGGGAAATATAGTTAAAATCGGGATTTATGACCACGTGCGGATAAAATGTGGGAGTAACTATGAGTAACCTGGGCAACGCTGGGTTCCCGGGCTAGTATCTTATAAAGTTTGTTATGCACCCAAGAAAAAAAACATAAAATAACTTCCTATCATTTTGTTCTTCATTTCTAAAACTTGAATTAGATTCTATCAATGTTTTCTGAGATTATATTAAAGTTTAATGAGAATTCTGCGCCGATCTTCAATCAGAAGTAAAACAAAAGTAGAAATATTGAAAAATGGAAGAACAAAGAAGGGATTTATTTATTTGTGAAACACAAAATTAGAAGGACAACGGATCTTAATTTCTCTTAAAGCATCAGATAGAAATAAGGGAAACAAACTAATTCAGTAATTATTATCTTGATAATATGTCAGAAAGTGATTGATACCATGCTAATCCTTATATATGTATCTTCATGATCGGTGTGAACTATGAATATTCTTTAGATAAGGTTTACAACTTGCAAATAAAGTAATCAACACAGTTAGTCTCAAAATATGGGAGTCTAAAAGAACAAATTTCTAAACTACAAATGCATTTTAGAGACATAAAATATAAATTGTAATAAAAAGTCTTAAGTATTGAAGATATGTACATTTAGCAAAAGTTTAAATGTTTTATGTTTTCATCAATCTAAAGTAAAAATCTTTATTTGCTCATCTTTCCCTCCATGCAACCCTGAAACAAAAAATTTTGGTTTTTATTTTTCTGTAAGATTTTTGAAATCCTTCTTATCCGTGATTCACTCTTTCTTCTCTTTCCGTGAATACACTCTTTCCTTACATATCCCTACCTACTCCCTAACCCCTACGTACCCTACCTATCCCCTTACCATACTTCCCCCTTACGATCTCATTTCCTTTTATATTATTTTCTTACATTACCCCCCTGCATAGCTCAATATATTTTACTCTTCGTACTGACATCCTCCGAAAACCCTGTCAATCTGTCAACCTACACCCACCCTATCAATCTGTCAACCTACACCCACCCTATCAATCTGTCAACCTACACCCATCCCATCAATCTGTCAACCTACACCCACCCTATCAATCTGTCAACCTACACCCACCCTATCAATCTGTCAACCTACACCCTCCCTATCACCCCGACCCTCTATCCTCCATCTATTTACCTGTGCACACATTTCCTCCCAATCAGTCCAGTACATAGTTCGCACATTCTCCACCAGATTTACAACACCCTCACACTTCATGTACATATAACCAGCCTGCAGTACATTTTTTAGATTATATTGTACGTCTATCCTGTATACAATAAAGTATGCACTGCATGCATTGTATGTAAATATTTCCAGCATTCGGTAAACTAACTAAATTAATATTTTCCTCCATTTTTAGGTTTTAAATTAATAAAGGATTTTAAAATAAATTTCATGACAAAAGAACTCTTTTTGGTATTTTCATTCCATTTTTAATGTGTGTTTTTTTTATCAAACGTCATCGGATCGACGCTACAAACCTAACTTACAATCGTCGGACTGGTACAAAAGTTAGACAATACAAACGTGATATGTTTGATTTTTTAAATCAATGGAATCTATATATACATAAAGTTTTAAATTCTGTTTTTCTGTTTTTTTGTCTGATCATAACTCTGATACATAAAGTTGTAATCTCTGTTTGTCTGTTTTTTTTTGTCTAATCATAACTCAGGTATATAAAGTTGTAATCTCTGTTTGTCTGTTTTTTTTTTGTCTGATCATAACTCAGATATATAAAGTTGTAATCTCTGTTTGTCTATTTTTTTGTGTTGATCATAACTCAGATATATAAAGTTGTAATCTATGTTTGTCTGTTTTTTTTGTCTTATCATAACTCAGATATATTAAGTTGTGATCTATGTTTGTCTGTTTGTTTGTCTGATCATAACTCAGATATATTAAGTTGTAATCTCTGTTTGTCTGTTTGTTTGTCCGTTCATAACTCATAAACCCCTAAACCTATTTGCAATAAATTTTGATTGGGGAACCTCTTAGCTTAGATTTTAAGTTCTAAGGTCAATTTTTAAAGCAAAAATTTAGTTTCTCGAAAAAAACGACCAAGTGCGGGTAAACGGCGAAGCAACTTTGAGTAACCTGGGCAACGCTAGGTTCCTAAGCTAGTAATGTATAAAATGAGACCTGTGGGAACTCCATAGGTATATACAGGAACTGTGCTAGATGACCAAAAATAACACAATCAATGGTTGTTGGCGTATCCCCGTGCAGAAACTTTTTGTTCCCTAAATATCTGAAAATAAAATTATTATTATTATAAAGATTCACACACAAAGATATAAATACATATGTATATGGTGTAGTTTTAATTTGCTTAAATAATTTGAATATATAGTTTTACAAAAGAAAAAAAGTAATATATGCAAATTATGCACAAATTGACGACATTGATCATTACTCATCACATAACATTTAAAAGGTCTTGTAAACCGGAACTTTCCATGCATGGTCCAATGGGACATCAAAATATTTCATTTGTTTCTTAACAAACATTTCTGTAACTATCAGAAAACGGAATCAATGACTTACGACGTTATAAGAAAGATACAAATTAAACCTTGTCTACCAAAGGATTAGATATGGGACCTAATTGTGTCGATTTGAAACTTTTATTAGCTGATCTAACTCATATTTAGTTTGAAATCTTGAAGGTCTAAGACATCAAATTTATAAGACATGAGGACTAGAGAATGATGCGAGTAACCAGTTCATTTCCTCTGAGCATGAAATTCAATCTTTTAAAATTCTCACATATTTGGATAAACTTAACTCGTAAGTCCACTGTCAGCATTATCTTTTATGTGTCCTACTGCTAGTTTTTACAACAATGAAAACCAGAATAAAGTAAATTAAATTACCAATTATCAATGTACTTACCCTGAGATAGCTTTGATATCTTTAAATGAGAAGTTAAGAGCAGTTTCTTCATCCCATCTTCCCCAGCAGCAGAGCTTACCCTTCCTTCTCATACCTTAACAAATATATGCAAATCACTTCTTATTTATAAAATATCTACAATCTCTCTAATAAGCTCTTCACTCATCTAGATATCTATATATAAAGTTGTAATCTCTGTTTGTCTGTCTGTCTGTTTGTTTGTCCGATCATAACTCAATAACCCCTGGACTGATTTGCCTCAAATTTTTATTGGGGACTCACGAGAATGTTCTTGGTTTGGTTTTGAGATTCTAAATTGAGTGGGTCGACTTTAATAGGGAAAATGTAGTCTCTCGGGAAAATCGATCAAGTGCGAGTAAACGACGGGAGTAACTTTTAGTAACCTGGGCAGCCTGGGTTCCCAAGCTATACATCTATAAAACTGTAATCTATGTTTCTCTGTTTGTCTGTCTGTGTGTATGTCCGATCATAACAGCCGAACCCTTATCCCATTGGCCTAAAATTGGGGAACTCGGGAGAACCACGAAAATGTTATTAGCCTGGTTTTGAAAATCTAAATTGAGTGAATTGACTTTTATAGCAAAAATTGACAAAGTGCGGGTAAACGGTGGAAAAAATTATGAGTAACCTTGGGCAATGCCTGGGTTCAATATATAGCTGGTACAGAAATTGACCCGACTTAACCCAGAGTAAAGGGTAAGTGACAATTTACAATGTTTTCTCAAAGGAAACATTTAATAGCGAGAAGGGAAAACGCTTTGTGCAGCGGGAAATACTCCGAATAAATCTAAATAAAGGTTCAGCCAGTCTGACTGCTTTATTCTGACACACGTGTCATGTACATATGTCGTCAGATTGTTTTTCGATTCTATTTGTTGCAAAATATGAGATTAAATAAATATCAGATTTACAAACCCTCCCGTACTACTCACAGTGATCTAGAGGTTACAACTTGCAAGCAATCGAGAAGAATTTGGACCAAGTACTTTTAGAAAATAAATGTACATGTATAAGGCTGCAAAATAAAGAGTAGTTAGTTATTGTCGTAAAAACAAAGGCCAAGGCTTTAAGAAACTTTAAAGTCGAACAAGACATGAAAATATATAAAACCTTTTACATCAGTTTTTGGTATTTACTGTACATAATATATACCTGCTGGCATAAACCATCTCATAGCCCATATCCTAGGCCAGTTCTCTAAACAAACCTCAGCAAATCTTTCCATATTTAAACCATATCTCCACCAGAACCCGATCTATACAAAACGGGAGTCATGACTTACTTCGATGCAACTAGAATATGCTAGGGGACCAAGTGCTGTAGTTATAATATGCTACTGGGGCAAGCTCATAGGAAGTCCTTTCAGGGGTTTGTACTTTCCGGTGTTTGTCTTATCAGGAGTTTGCATTTCCGGAGTTTTTATTTCTAGAGATTTTTACATACTACTGCTTCCCGGTAAAAAAAATTCCGAATTCTCTTTTAAAGGAATTGAGTCTTTGGAACAAAATCAAATATTTAAACCTCAATATCTTTAGAACTCTATGTTGTAAACCTTTGATATTTCAAACTCAGATTATTTGATCTAACAGAATTCATAGTTTGAAATATCTAAGGTCTGTAACATTTGGTTCCAAAGATATAGTGATTAGAAAATCAGAGTTCGTGGCTAAGACTCAATTCCTTTATTATTAAAATCATCAGGGCAATACAGCTACCGAATTTGGACTATATAGTCTGCCAATGATCATCTGCACTGATTACTAAAATTGTTAAATTATTTATAAAGAAAACAATGAATATAGAAAATTCTGACGAAAAAACATGCATCTGAAAATCCGGAAACCATATATCCGGAAAAGGCTTGAAACCCCAGTTTCACATTCCTGTGTAGTGTGTTCCTCCAGCATAGTTTGGAAAGCATGACTAGACGCCTTCTCCTCATCACTAAACAAATATAACGACTTTCAACATTTGTTATCAAATTCTAATTTTTAATGCTGTAGATCTGTTTTTCTATTCCTTGTACCATTCCACATTATATATGTATTTTTCGAATGGAAAGAAATCAAGTCCTTACCACAAACTCAAATTGTCGAATCCCAGTTTTACTTTGATATTGCTAGGCTACGTTTGTTGCATAATATGTGATGGGTCCACTCAATACTGGGTAGTCCAGACTGGAAATATCAAAGGTCTACCGTGCTGGGTTGCAAAGATATAGGAATTAGAAAATCAGAGGTTGTGGCAAAGACCCAATTCCTTTATTTTCGATCCTAAATTAAAGAATATAGTTGAAATTATAATTTCGTCGCTCTTGCACCTTCATACCGAAATTCTTTAACATTTTTTACAAACCTGAGTCCATTCTCTGGATCAACTCCGAAGTGTAGTTTAAGCTTTTCAATGATAAGGTTTGAATCCTCAAACTGTTCTCCGTTCAGCTCAATGTATGGAACTGTTCCAATAGTTCCGGAAACTCTAAAATGGAATCGTTTGAAATCTGTTTTATTTTTTTATCATTAAAAACTCTGAATCTAAAAAAGTGCTAAAGTCAAGGGAATAGTCAAAGGTTTTGATTAAGGCATAAACAACTGTTATTAAATCATACATACCACAAACATAAATTTTCTAATCCCTATCTTTGCAACCTGAATGTGTAAACCTTTGATATATCAAAAAAATTATTTAATCTAACAGAATTCACAGCTTGAAATATCTAAGGTCTAATTAAGGCCATTAGGTTACAAAGATATAAAGACTAAAAGATTGGCAAAGACTCCATTCCTTTAAGAACATTTTGATGCACTTTAGAAAAACAACTTTTAAGGGGACAAGGGAAAAGTACAATAATATCTAAACAATATCTACTCACCTTCTTGTATAAACGTTCTCATAGGATATACCAGTCAGTCGTAGCCAGGTCTCTAGTTTTAAACAATATCTACTCACCTTCTTGTATATACGTTCTCATAGGATATACCAGTTAGTCGTAGCCAGGTCTCTAGTTTTAAACAGAACGGAGATATCGACCTATAATCATCAAAGTGATAAACGTTGTTTTTCAACATTTTAAAAAATCGGTCAAAAGTGGAAACAAGTAAACAACCCAACAGATAAAACAAATATATTTATCTTCTAACTTTGGATCACAGCTTTGCCCAGAAACTAAACCGAGTTCACTAATCAAAGTTTGAGGCAAATCGGTAAAAAATTGAGCAAAAAATTAACTCATGTGTATAAATGATATAAAAGAGGCAACATAGTTAAGGTTTTTCCAGCTCGAACCTGCAAAGGTTTCTTTCGCTATTATGCAGTATTGATTTTCTTCAGTTCAAATGATGACGAAGTAACGATTCTTGAGTACAACTAGTAAAGTAACTATTCTTGAGTACAAATGATAATAAAGTAAAGATTCTTGAGTACAAATAATAAAGTAACTATTCTTGAGTACAAATGATAATAAAGTAACGATTCTTGAGTACAAATAATAAAGTAACTATGCATGTATACAAATGATAATGAAATAAAAAATTTTGAGTACAAATAAAAAAGTGTGGTGAAATTTTCAATTTACTTTTATGTACTCTGTGTCAAGGTTTAGAAACTATAATACATACAATACTCTTTCTATCTACGTTGCAGTCTGTTTTAAGAATCTTAAAAAGAGAGTTAACCAACAATTAAATAAATTTTACTAACTTCTACCTAATATTTGGAGACACTGGATACTGCATCAGATAGACTGTATCTTTACTCCAGTTTGGAACATGCAGGGGAGCCAGATTCCGTCGTTTACTAAAAAAACGGTTCACGGATTATATGACGTACACATGGGAGATAGTCATTCAGCATTATTAGTTTCGATTAGGAAAAAAAGTGTATTTTTAAATTAACTTATTTCTGCAAAACAAAAAAAAAATATACAGAAACATTACAGGAAATATTAATAATTATTGAGCAACTTCATTTTTAAAACAAAGGAATTGAGTCTTTGCCACAAACTTAAATTTTCCAATCCCTATAATCTTTCCAACATGATAATGTAAACCTTTGATTATTTGATCTAACAGACTTCGAAGTTTGAAAAAAAAGTTTGCAAAGGTTAGCAATTCAGAGTATGGTGCAGAAACGCAGTTCCTCAATTTACTCGAAGCGTTCGATTTGCATTTTCTGAGAAAAAAAATGAAAAAAAATGGATTTTTTTAGAAAAGTCTCATTATTTGTTACCTGTAGGAGGCAAAAACTACTATGATTATAAGAATAAATATAGAAATTATAAATATCATTTTATTGTGATATAAGATATATTCCTTGGTATAGCTCTTATTTAGATTGTGTATATGTATACTGACATATCAGTATGAAGATAAAGTTTAAGGNAAGTTAGGAATTAGGGGCGCAAAGTTAGTATTAAAAAAAAGTTTTTATTAATTTTCCAATAGATATGTATACCTGATTAAAAACAAGTTGTAAATTAAGTTCAAAATATTTTTAATCGTCAAAAAAATTAATGAAATTCTAGATATTTTTATCTTTAAATCTAATCAGTAAAATATAAATTTTTATGAAAAGAGTTTAGTTAACGTTGTGATTATTTTTGCAAATTATATGAATAAAAGAAACGTTGTTTTGATTTAGAAACAAAGTTATAATTTACAAATGAACGCCCCCCCCCCTCTCTTCAAACAGACCTTTATCAGTGTCAATGCTCCTAAACTATGATNTTTACATGATTTATCTCACCAGAAAATCAGAAAAACAGTTTATTTCTTAATTCTCGTAATGGTAATTTAAGATTTTGTTACGTGCAAGAAAACAGAGAACCTATTTCCCCCGATGCGTTCATCAAGGTGTATTTATATTCAATGTAAATATTGCAGCAAAGCTCTATTACCTGTCTAATTTTGATGCGGAAATTTCAATTTAATAAAAATGTTTGCTAAGCTTCTTAAGTTACTGATGTAATAGATTTGTTTAAAGTTCTCCAATAGATCTTAAGTTATTCTTTTGCAACCTTTGCTCAAGCAGAATTGATTGTTTGAAATATGAAAGGTCTACGGCATCATGTTACAAAGATATTATGATTAATGAATTATATTGTTTGTTTAGGAAGAATATAAGCAGGAGGGAATACAATGGAAAGAGATAAATTACTTTAACAACAAGGAAATTTGACAAACACTTGTATTTTAAAATCCTTAAACTAGCTTTTTTTCTTCAGAATATGCAGATCTGATTTTTATGATCAAATTTTAGAAATTATTTCTTATTGTGACTATTTAATGGAGCAGTACATCAAAATAACATTTATGAGGAATAAACAAATATTTTAAATTGGTATCTTATTTATCTACTAAAATCTTTTTATTTTATTGTTTGTGATTCTCCAGGTGGTCTGTAACCTATTAGAGAGTAGATCTCCTCCTGGTATATTCGAGTGTATTGACGAGATCAGTATCATCTATGCCAAGGTAGGACGGATTCTGAATCTCCAGGTGGTCTGTAACCTACTAGAGAGTAGATCTCCTCCTGGTATATTCGAGTGTATTGACGAGATCAGTATCATCTATGCCAAGGTAGGACGAATTGTGAATCTCCAGGCGGTGTGTAACCTTCTGGAGAGTAGATCTCCTCCTGGTATATTCGAGTGTATAGACGAGATCAGCATCATCTATGCCAAGGTAGGACGGATTGTGAATCTCCAGGTGGTGTGTAACCTACTGGAGATTAGATCTCCTCCTGGTATATTCGAGTGTATTGATGAGATCAGTATCATCTATGCCAAGGTAGGAAAAATCTCCAGGTGGTCTGGAACTCACTGAAGAATATAGATCGCTTCCTAGATCAGCAAAACCAAAGTAACACCAAACACATATCTCTACCACATTTAGAATATATAAGGATAAATCAATTGTGTCTCCCCAGGTTAAAGATTTACGAAATGAGTGTACTCCAGGTTCAAGAAAAGTCTAAATAAACTTGATAGAATTTCATCTCTCATAACTTGAGAAACATGTTAAGAAAGTTTAATATTAATGTGTTCTCTAGGTACAAGACAAAGCTGATGATAACTTCAGGAACATGTTAAGGAAGTTTAATATTAATCTGTTCTCTAGGAACAAGAAATAGCTGATGATAACTTGAGAAACATGTTAAAGAAGCTTAATATTAATGTGTTCTCTAGGTCCAAGATAAAGCTGATGATAACTTGAGGAAAATGTTAAGAAAGTTTAATATTAATCTGTTTTCTAGGTACAAGACAAAGCTGATGATAACTTGAGGAAAATGTTAAGAAAGTTTGATATTAATGTGTTCTCTAGGTCCAAGACAAAGCTGATGATAACTTGAGAAACATGTTAAAGAAGCTTAATGTTAATGTGTTCTCTAGGTACAAGAAAAGCTTATGATAACTTGAAGAAAATGTTAAGGAAGTTTATTATTAATCTGTTCTCTAGGTACAAGACAAAGCTGATGATAACTTGAGAAACATGCTAAGAAAGAATTTCACCAGTAATCAATATTTTGCAGATGCTAGTAATGGGTCAGTATTTTTTTAAAATCTATTTCTCGTAATTTGTTTCAGATTTATTCAACCCTATTTATCAGAAGTAAAACTAAATATTTTTGTAAAGAAATTTTCAACATACTTTTAAAACTCTTGAAAATTCCTCCCTTACCATTAAAATTAGAGTTCTATTTTTTCAATAAACAGGCCTTGAAAAGTTGGACTAGGGACATGTATCACATTCGCCTATCTCAACTCTCAGGGCAAAATCATAGGCGGGAGGGAAACCCCTCCCCCTAATCTATATTAGACAAAAATAACCCAATCGGGATAGGGTTAAATTAATAAATGTTTTTTTTAAATACTCCTTCTTTTAAAGGGACTGTAAGCGTAATTTGAAATTGATCCTCCGTGCAAAGATGGCAATGTCTGATTTACAGCGGACACTTGAAATCGTTAAACTGTTTATTTTTATTTGTGGTTTCTCTACGAAAGTGACTTGCTCATGTCTTGTTAAGAAGAAGCGAGAAACTCCAGAAATAAACACTTTTTGAGTAAAAAAAATATGATTTCTTCAACATTGTTGATCAGATTAAGGTTTCAAGGTTACCGTGTAAATCTGGATTTGCCATCTGTGCATAAAGGGTCACTTAAAATTACTCCAACATGCTCTTTAATTGGAACTTGTCACTTTTCACGTTATATTTTTGAGCAAAAATTTGAATTGATAAAAATAGATACTCACAATTTATCCAAATTTTGGATAGATTGTTTTAATTGGTTGGAAAAATATGCTACAGTGAAACCCTTAATAACGAATACATCGAAAGATTCATCAAATGTCGTATTCTTCACTTTCTGATAATGGAATGTTGCAGATATTTAGTTTTTTAATTAAATGATTATATGGAACTCTTTAAAACTGTTCCCGCATATTCATGGCTATTTATTTATTTTCGCAAATACTGAAATTTACGTAATATAGTATAAAACTCATTGAAAAATTGTCAAGACGACATTTGATAAATTCTTCCGGTGTATTCGTTATTAAGGGTTTCACTGTTTCAAAATTATCGTAAACTTGAATATCTATCTTAATATGAACTGATTAAAGTCAGATTATTTGATCTAGCAAAAATCGTAGTTTTGAAAACCTTAAGTTGCAAGATATTGGTATTAGAAAATTGAGTGATCAAATCCTTGATTAGGTTTATAATCTGTCACTATGCTGGGGAGGTGAACTACAACTCTGCCGGGTTTATCGAGAAGAACAAGGATATTCTCTTCCTGGACCTCATCAAGCTCATGAAGGGATCCGCCAGTCATCTAGTCAAATCACTCTTCAAGGAGGAGGTATAGTGGAACACATAAAGCTGTGGAATAGAAAGATGACGTAATTCTGAGGTCATATTTTCAAATAGTCCAATTACCATAAAACACATTAATTGTTCAGTTTCTCTTAAAGGGAGTGACCGGCTATGTAAGGTAGTTGAACTGAGTATGCAGTAGCCGGTCACTCCTTTGATATGTTGATTTTCAAGCTTTATAACAACATGAAATACAAATAAGATTACCCATCTGTCGTCTTCCTATTCCACAGTGTATATAGGTCTCAGTAAACATGAAATACAAATAAGATTACTTATATGTCGTCTTCCTATTCCACAGTGTATATAGGTCTCAGTAAACATGAAATACAAATAAGATTATTTATATGTCGTCTTCCTATTCCATAGCGTATAGGTATCAGTAAACATGTTAGGTAATTTCCCAAAGGCTTTTTCCCAATTGTCAACTTACCAAGGATATTTTCCTAAGTGACAACTTCCCAAGTGTGCAACTTCACAAGCGGCAACTTCGCGAGTATGTCCTAGCCGCATCGCTCGGCCCCCTAGCCTGCTCTAGCCACAGCGCTCGACACCCATGCCCATCCTAGCCGCATCGCTCGGCCCCTTAAACCATCCTAGCCGCAGTGGTAGCCCCTATTGCATTCTGCAGCGCCTCAGATAGCCTAACCAAACCCTTGGGAAGTTAACATTTGGGAAGTTGCCCTTTTGAAGTCGCCCTTGGGAAAACACCTAACAGCTCAGTAAACATGTTGTAACTTGTAAGCATCCCTAGATTAATTTCTTAATATATATACATATAAAAAGTAGTGATCATATTTTTCTCTGTCTCTTTGTTTGGATGTCCGATCTTAACGCATAAACCCCTTAACCGATTTGCCTCTAGTTTTAATCAAGGAACTCGGTAGAACAACGGGAAAGTTTAGATTTCAGTTAAAGCTGGGTTACCAAGCTAGTATCTTTTTACAGTACACGGTTTAGATTTCTGTAACTTTGTAACTGTAATTTAGTTTCTATCTGCGAAAGTTTGTTCTCAGCTTGATTTTTTAACAATAATAAATTCAATAATCCCATAAATATTTCTGGTTTCAACCATAACATTTTGGACCATCTGAGTCAAATTTACATTCTTTGCCTTTATGGTTCTGTGTTTTTACGTCTACTATGGGAACAAACAAACAAAAAGGAAAAAACAAGTTGATGAAACTATATTAATATGGATTAATTTAGTATCTATCTATATGTATAGTATATAGTACACGAACCATGAATGTGCAGCCACGAGTAGAATATGTCAGATAATTATTTACATTAATTATATTTAATTATAATAATAATAATAATAATAATAATATAGTAAACTAGGCTTTTAGGGTGCACCGTTAACTTTTAACTGTTTCTCTGAATCGCCATTTTTAAACGTTCTCAAATTTTCGCGGATTTTTCAGTTTTAATTGGTGCATCTTTCTAAATAATAAATTTATAACTTTATTGGATACTAACAAACACACAGACACACATACAATCCAAATATGTAAAGAGATATGTACATTTCTAATCATATGTATCTAGATGTATTTGTAACTTATGTTAGTCACAATAATTGAATACATCTCTTAAATATGATGATGTTCTAGGTTGAGAAAACGAGAAAGCGTCCAACAACTGCTGGATCCAAAATAAAAACTCAAGCTAATGAACTTGTAAACAAACTCATGTTATGTACTCCACATTATGTCAGGTATATTTAAACTCATTTTATGTACTCCACATTATGTCAGTATATTTAAACTTATGTTATGTACTCCACATTATGTCAGTATATTTAAACTCATGTTATGTACTCCACATTATGTCAGTATATTTAAACATATGTTATTACTTCACATTATGTCAGTATATTTAAACTCATGCTTTGTACTCCACATTATGTCAGTATATTTTAACTTATGTTATGTACTCCACATTATGTCAGGTATATTTAAACTCATGCATTGTACTCTGCATTATGTCCAAGTGCACTCCGACAAAAATCTAACATTTTTTATTGTACTCATTATGTCAAGTACATTCCAACACGAAGACAAAATATCATTTGATATTCTTCTATTATGTTTATACATATTCATAATATGAACAAAATGTTTTTTCCTCCTTAAGTTTTTAACGAACGAGAATTTATTTTTTCATTAGATAAAATCATGGATGATAAAATATACTTCAAGTGTTTTTTTTCTAGGTGTATTAAACCTAATGAAACAAAGCAACCAAAGGATTGGGAGGTGGAAAGAGTAATGCATCAGGTATTATAAAGTAATCTCAAGGTTTTCCAGGTTGTCAAATGCCAAGAAGAGAAGGTTCTAAATGTAAGTTGTGTAATCAAATTGGATACTTTATAATACAGAGTGTTTACCTTCAGGCATATTATGTCCTATATAGCAAATACTAAAATACAGGATGAGCCAAAGTTCCGGGATGAGAAAAGTTCCGTTTATCCTAAATATCCAAATGTCCTTTTGGATATTGAAGAATAATATCCAAATGTTCTCCTAGGTTGGATATCTAGGATAACAGAGACTAATATAAAAATATTCTCATAGGTTGGAAACCTAGGATTAACAGAGAATAATATCCAAATGTCCTTTTGGATATCTAGGATTAACGAAGAATAATATCCAAATGTTCTCCTAGGTTGGATATCAAGGATTAATAGAGAATAATATCCAAATGTTCTCCTAGGTTGGATATCTAGGATTAACAGAGAATAATATCCAAATGTTCTCCTAGGTTGGATATCTAGGATTGACGGAGAATATCCGCGTAAGAAAAGCCGGGTTTGCGTACAGGAGATTATTTGAGAAGTTTGTTCTTAGGTAACTATCTATTAACTCAAAAAACAATTACGATACAAAATTTTCATTAAAATTTGGTATTTTTGATAAAAAAAATTGCATTTTAGTTTTTACTATTCAGTATTCACACATATTTGCTATTTTCTGGAAGATATATTTCATATTTAATTTTTGTTGCCATTTTATTTTCAGATATTCAATTTTGACTTCTGAAACCTGGCCCCCAGGATCCTATAGAGGGGATACAAGGGGAGCTGTAGAACATATTCTTAGGTGACACAAATTCAACTTTTATTTGAAACTGGCAAAATTTGTTAAATGTTTAAACTTTTTTTATAAAATCTAATGCTTAAATCAAGAACGGAGAGATGGGAATAGTTAAAGATTTTTCTAAACGCATAAAGAACTGCTATTGTGAAAAAAAAATGAATTGAGTTAAACTTTTTGTCAGCAACACTGATTTTCTAATTTCTGTATCTTGGAAACTCGAAATTTGATATTTCAATATATGAAATCCAAGTTTGACATATCAAAGATTAACACCACCAGGATGCAAATATAAAGGGATTAGAAAATCTGAGTTTGTGGGGAAAACTTAATTCCTTTGATAACACTTTAACCCTATCACTATTTGGCTTATTAGTAAAGTGGGGGGGGGGGGAGGGTTCCCACTCATTATGTTGCCCAAGAAATTATCCTTATCACCATAAATTTATCATTTTGAGGCCATTTTGAAGAATTTTTTGATAATTGAGGATTTCGTCTCTCCCAATTTGAATTGTTTGTATTTCTTGTAGATCTGTGAACATGCAGAGGAAGGAATATGAGATGGGTAAAACTAAACTGTTTATCAAAGCTCCTGAATCAGTGAGTTCTCTTCTAAATATTCAGATTTATTTCTGCCTGGGTTTAAAGGGAGAGACTAGCTTGACATGGTGTTGAGCATAAAGTGCAGTATTATAGAGAAATTTTGAAACGTATTAACGGTGTAAATTGTTCAGTAAAAGCGCAAATTTAATCTTCAAAATCCTCCTGGATCGTCCATTTTGAAGAGATGATTTTAAGAATTTTTTTTATTATTCAATAACGACGATGAAAAATGTTACAAAAATGTCTACAGTAAACTAATTAGTTGTTTAGAAACAGGTTGAGAAAATAAAAATTAACTCTTATCATCGAAAAAAAGTAATCTCGATTAAGTTAATGTTTTCTGTAATGTTTCATTGCTCACAAACGTTTTCCGTAGACTTTCTGGAATTTTAATTGAAAAGACGACATTTCAATTTGAAGAATTTGAAGAGGTCTGCGAACAAATTTGAATAGAATAAAAAATTCAATATAATGATGGTAAAAAATCATTGATTTCTTCACAAATTTCTATTGAGAAATAATTAAGTTTTGTGCTCCCGTCTTGTTTACTAAGTAAACTGTTTAAAACAGTTAAAAATACGTTNTACCTACTGTGTTTTTCTTAAATACAAGAATACTTAATGCATTAATGTATTACATTGAAGTAACCGAGTTCTTTTCACAAACTCTGATTTTCTATTCACTATATCTATGCAATACAGTGTCGTAGACCTTAGATATTTTAACTTAAAAATTCTGTTACATCAATTAATCTAAGTTTGAAATATCAAAGGTTTACAGTTCTAGGTTGCAGAGATAAAGGGATCATAAAATTTAAGTTTGTGGCAAAGATTCATTTTCTTAATAAAATATTTATTTTTTTAGTTGTTCCTTTTGGAGGAAGTCAGAGAAAGGAAGTTTGATCATTTTGCCAGGTATTATTTTTTTCATCATAAAACATGAAAACTAACTCTTCTTTAACTCTTAAAAAAATGAAGATGAAATTTTCTTTTAAGATTTCATTTTTCTCAAAATTGTATCAACCATGTTTGATATACTTCTAATAAAAAAGAACTCTTCAGAATAGATGTCTACATGTGACATGATGTCACATGTATGATATTGTCCGACCCCCTGTTAACAATTCCAATGTATAATGGGACTCTCTGTATCATTTTCCCGCTTAACTAGATTTGATGATATATTTGCAGGGTGATTCAGAATAAAGTTGTGTATATATTTACAGAGTGATTCAGAATAAAGTTGTGTATATATTTACAGGGTGATTCAGAATAAAGTTGTGTTTATATTTACAAGGTGATTTAAAATACAGTTGATGATATATGTGCAGGGTGACTCAGAATAAAGTTGTGTATATATTTACAGAGTGATTCAGAATAAAGTTGTGTATATATTTACAGGGTGATTCAGAATAAAGTTGTGTTTATATTTACAAGGTGATTTAAAATACNCCCTGTAGTTTTTTTGTCCCAGAACTTTTATTTTTGACACTATCACCGTCAAATTTTGTGAATTTTAATGAAGAGTAAAATTTTTGTTAGTAAATAATTTTTTATTTACGGGGTAGGGTACAGGGCGGAAAAAAAGTCCGGTCTGTGAAAAAATCTAAAATAGCCGATAGCTTTTTTTGTGTATAAAGCTACAGATCTAAAAACTATATTTTTAAAAAGCCCTATAAAAATGCATGTAGAAACATGTGTCACACTTTGATATTTGTTTAAAACAAAAAAAAAATTTTTTTTCTTTTTTTTGACCCTTTTTTAGGCATTTTTTCTACCCTACCTAGCACCCAAACTTTAATAAGTAATCGGTCTAAATTTTTTTTCTTTGAGCTGGCCATGAAAAATTGGGCTATGAACATATTCTCTAAGGTCTTTTTCTAGGGGAGGGGCTCCAAACTCCCCCCCAGGCTATACATAGATTCAGACCCCCAGCCTTTATAGGGTTAAACATTGAAAGTACAAAATTTGCTTTAGTTGAGCCAGTATTCTCACAGCTTTCAGTGTCTTATGTTATGTGTCAACATCTTGTATAAGTCATGTTTACTGAGCTCAAACCAGAATTTGGTGCTTTTATAAGTTATACAGGCAATTATACAATAATTATAATCTGTTTTTTTTATTTCAGATATATTCTTTAAGAAGAAGGAGCGCAGGAAGCATTCTTTGAATAGAAACTTTTTCAGTGATTACATCGGTAGGTCTAATATATAGATACATTTTCAAATATTCAAACCTTAATTTTTTTTCTTTTAGGGTTGGACAATAAACCTGAGTTGAGAGCTTTAGTTGGTAAACGTGAGAAGGTATAGAAGATTTATAGAATTAATTTTTAGTTTCCTTTCAGATTCGCTTGACAGTTTGAAGAAACGCTAAAAAGTAAATAAATTTTCTAAACAAAAAATTAAACCAACATTTATTTTCTTCAGATAGAGTTTGCACAGACTGTAGATAAATTGGATCGGTATTTCAAGGTAAACACTAGTCCAAATATTTCATGGTAAACCCTAGTCCAAAAATTTCAAGATAAACCCTAGTCCATATATTTTGAATATAAACCCTATTTCATATATTTCAAGGTAAATCCTAGTCAAATATTTCAAGAGAAGCCCTAGTCCAAATATTTCAAGCTAAACCCTAGTTCAAATAATTCATGGTAAACCCTAGTTCAAATATTTCAAGGTAAACCCTAGTTCAAATATTTCATGGTAAACCCTAGTTCAAATATTTCATGGTAAACCCTAGTTCAAATATTTCATGGTAAACCCTAGCTCAAATATTTCAAGGTAAACCCTAGTTCAAATATTTCATGGTAAACCCTAGTTCAAATATTTCATGGTAAACCCTAGTTCAAATATTTCAAGGTAAACCCTAGTTCAAATATTTCATGGTAAACCCTAGTTCAAATATTTCAAGGTAAACCCTAGTCCACATATTTCAAGGTAAAGTGTAAAGTCCATATATTTTGCAAGGTAAAAAGACGATCTTGAAAAGCGTTTATGGTAGATCCTATTCTTCATATTTTTGGGACGCCCAGTAAATGTGTTGTATTATAGATGACGAAAGTTGATTTGATATTGACAGGGAAGAATCTGTTTCTCATAGGAAGAGAGAAAGCGAAGGGGAAAAACAAGGAAAATAATTTACTGCATTTTTCAAATTTAAACTGTCGGAGTCAGAACAACGTCTATTATTCGTCCTATGATAATCGTTCTTTTATGTTTTTTTTAAACATAGTAAATTATGAAATTTCATAGTTTGATTGCCTTTTGATTTAAAACATATTATGGTAAAAAAACGCATAAAAAGTTTATAAGTCATGTCACCATTCTCGTCAAACTGATTTGAACATTTTGAATTCTTTTTTTAATATTTAATTGACTTCTTTCTTTTTTAAAAATTTTTTTAGACAAATTATTTTGCCAGAAGGATTCAACAGTTGAAGTGATGAAACGAGAAATTCCTATTTCGCAGATTTCAAAAGTAAGAAATCGTTAATTTGAAATTAGTTTTTTGAAAAATAAAATTTATAGAATATTGTTTAGATTTCCCTGTCTTCGCGTCAAGATGATTTTGTGATAATTCATGTTAAAGATGATTATTCTTCATGTCTTCAGGTTTACATTAACCAATTAATTCATCCATGATTCTAAAATATAATTCTAAAAAGTGTTTTATGAAGGTTTTGACTCTTCATTTTTAGATTAGATTAAAAAGTGAGTTTGTAACAACACTTCTGAGAACTGGAAAAGAAAAGTTTGCAAAATCTATTCCTATTCAGTTTAACGATATGTAAGTATTCCTATTCAGTTTAACGATGTGTAAATATTCCTATTCAGTTTAACGATATGTAAATATTCCTATTCAGTTTAACGATGTGTAAGTATTTCTATTCAGTTTAACGATATGTAAGTATTCCTATTCAGTTTAACGATATGTAAGTATTCCTATTCAGTTTAACGATATGTAAGTATTCCTCCTCAGTTCAACGATATGTAAGTTTTCCTATTAAGTTTACCGATATGTAAGTATTCTTATTCAGTTTAACGATATTTCAGTATTCCTATTAAGTTTAACGATACGTAAGCATTCCTATTCAGTTTAACGATATGTAAGTATTCCTATTCAGTTTTACGATATGTAAGTATTCCTATTAATTTTAACGATATGTAAGTATTCATATTCAGTTTAGCGATATGTAAGTATTCCTATTCAGTTTAACGATATTTAAGTATTCCTATTAAGTTTAACAATATGTAAGTATTCCTATTCAGTTTAACGATATGCAAGTATTCCTATTCAGTTAACGATATGTAAGTATTCCTATCAAGTTTAACGATATGAAAGTATTCCTATTCAGTTAAACAATATGTAAGTATTCCATCTTCAGTGTTTAACGATATGTAAATATTCCTATTCAATTTAACGATATGTAAGTATTCTTATTCAGTTTAACGATATTTCAGTATTCCTATTAAGTTTAACGATACGTAAGCATTCCTATTCAGTTTAACGATATGTAAGTATTCCTATTCAGTTTTACGATATGTAAGTATTCCTATTAATTTTAACGATATGTAAGTATTCATATTCAGTTTAACGATATGTAAGTATTCCTATTCAGTTTAACGATATGTAAGTATTCCTATTCAGTTTAACGATATGTAAGTATTCCTATTCCGTTTAACGATATGTAAGTATTCCTATTCAGTTTCGTTTTAGTTTGTTTTTACACATCCAAGGTTCGTGACCACGAAAAAAAGGTTCTAAATATATTAGAAAATTGTACATATACTCTAAACAATTGAGTCGAAACTCGATGGTTTGATATGAAAGAGTTATATGAACTGATCTCAAACAACTCGATGGTTTGATATGAAAGAGTTATATGAACTGATCTCAAACAACTCGATGGTTTGATATGAAAGAGTTATATGAACTGATCTCAAACAACCCCTAAAATTAGGAACTGCTGTTGAAAAAAAACTTAGCCTGATTTTGTATTGCATGTAGACATGCGTAAATACATCTAGGTTTAACAAATTATTTTTTATCTGGATAGAATTGATTTTGAAGTGAAGAAAGGAGAGAAGAGAAAGCTCTCCTTTATCCTTGGAACAGGAGATAAAGCAATTCTGAAACATGGACGATTCCTGCCTAAGGTTGGTTTTTGATTTTTATCATTTAAAAAAACATTTTTATCATTATCAGATTATTGTTTTTGAAGTCAGAGGACATAAAACTTTAGGAAAACTTATGTATTTAGTGGGTTAAAATAATTCAAACCATTAGTTGATTTTTTTATCAGTGCCATAAAGATTTTATCATAATGGTCTCTCTATATCAAAAAGAAATGAATGAAAATTCAAAATATAATTAAAAAGATGCAAAAAAAAATTTAACATTGATTAAATAAGTCACGTACTGCAGTGATCTGTTGTACCGATTTAATCCCGGGTTTAATCGGATCGAGAAGTTATAATAGAAAAAAGAATATTAATTATAATAATTGCAATATAACAGGAGGCTACAGTAGAGATAGGACGGGGAGAACCAAACACAAGCAGTAAGTTTACACACATGAAATCTAATAATCAAAACATAATCCAAGATTAATTTAAATAAATGCATACCCAATTAACAACTAAACCCGTTAAACAGCAAAAATTCAAAAAAAAATAACTTTGTTTTTCTTTCTAAAAACGGACAATTTAGATGCTTTATCTGAAAACGGACAATTTAGATGCTTTATCTAAAAACGGACAATTTAGATGCTTTATCTAAAAACGGACAATTTAGATGCTTTATCTGAAAAAGTTAACTTGTGGGATTTGCAGAGGAGACAATGAATGAAATTGGTAAGAATCGAACTCTTTTTAAGAAAAGCGACGATATCGTTATTGATATCAACGGTACTGTTGTGAATTGGGCGTGTAACATGCGGGGTCACTTGAAGATACGTTAACAGTCCCTTTATAAACATTTTTTCAGAACCCAGGAGTCTAGATAACAACAACCGTAAAGGTTTGACCGGGCGGCGAGGTGGAACGGGCAAAACGGGGTTTCAAGGAAACGGTCAACACAGAGGAGGAGGAAGAGGAGGAGAAGGAGGAGGAAGAGGAGGAGGAGGAGGAGGAGGTGTAGGGTGGGTTGGGCATGGGGTAGGAGGACGAGGAGGAGGAGTATCACAGAGAGGCTCTGGTTTTGGTGGAAGAGCTGGGTTTAAAGGTTAATATCAAATTTTTTTAGAATTTTTAGAATATTCATTTTAAAAATAGCATTAAAACCCATTTGAAAGAAAAACATAAAGAATTCTTTAATAAAGGAAATGGCCTCCAAAGAAGAGATGAAGGGTCTGAAAATGAATATGCTCGAAAACCTGAACGACGATCAATCAAAATGACTAAAAGATCAGGTAAAGAAAGTTTTAAAAACTTACAGAACATCTAAACTATCATTTCCACCAAACGAAACTTATAATCAGAGCTGGCGCGAAGTCAGGCTCGGAGAGAAACCAGTGAGGCTCGGCGAAATGTTGATATTTCCATACTTAGTGTTCCAAAACTAGCTGCAGGCCATATACACAGGTAGATACAGTAGATAGTAGATATAATAGATATAGTAGATATAGTAGATAGTAGATAGTAGATATTAGATAGTAGGTAGTAGATAGTAGATAGTAGATAGTAGATAGTAGATAGTAGATAGTAGATAGTAGATAGTAGATGGTAGATGGTAGATAGTAGATAGTAGATAGTAGATAGTAGATAGTAGATAGTAGATAGTAGATAGTAGATAGTAGATATAGTAGATAGTATATAGTAGATAGTAGATAGTAGATATAGTAGATAGTAGATTGTAGATATTAGATATAGTAGATAGTAGAAAGTAGATAGTAGATAGTAGATAGTAGATATAGTAGATATAGTAGATAGTAGATAGTAGATAGTAGATAGTAGATAGTAGATATTAGATAGTAAGTAGTAGATAGTAGATAGTAGATAGTAGATAGTAGATAGTAGATAGTAGATAGTAGATAGTAGATAGTAGGTAGTAGATAGTGATAGTAGATAGTAGATAGTAGATAGTAGATAGTAGATAGTAGATAGTAGATAGTTGAAGATAGTAGATAGTAGATAGTAGATAGTAGATAGTAGATAGTAGATAGTAGATAGTAGATAGATAGTAGATAGTAGATAGTAGATAGTAGATAGTAGATAGTAGATAGTAAAATAAACTAAGTATATGTCTAGGCAGAACGTGAAGCAGGATGAGAAGCCTGCCTTAAAACCTAAACCTTCAAATAGGAACATAAATAATAATAATATAGTAATCATATATTTGAAATATATTTTTTTAAATAAATATTTTATTATTAAGAATATAGACACTAAAGATTATTTGTGTAAAATATAGAACACTGGTATCCAGAGTTCGGGTCAAATATGATTATGATGCTCAGGTATTATGCTCTAGAAAAAATTAAAAATAATTTTTAGAACTCTCTAGATCTCTGTGGTGGCTGTTTCTAAAATAAAACGCAGTCAAGCTTTGGTCTCTCATTCCAAGTCCAATAAAATAGTTTAAAATAGCAGTAAAATAGTACACCGTGACGTTCTATCTGTGATTTTCAAAATATAATACAGATATAGTACAGATATAATACAGATATATTACAGATATAATACAGATATATTACAGATATAATACAGATATATTACAGATATAATACAGATATATTACAGATATAATACAGATATAATACAGATATATTAAAGATTTAATACAGATATAATACAGATATAATACAGATATATTACAGATATATTACAGATATAATACAGATATTATACAGATATATTACAGATATATTACAGATATAATACTGATATAATACAGATATATTACAGATATAGTACAGATATAATACAGATATATTACAGATATATTACAGATATAGTACAGATATAATACAGATATATTAAAGATATAATACAGATATATTACAGATATAATACAAATATATTACAGATAGAATACAGATATATTACAGATATGTTACAGATATGATACAGATATAATACAGATATAATACAGATATATTACAGATATATTACAGATATAATACAGATATAATACAGATATATTACAAATATATTACAGATAGAATACAGATATATTACAGATATGTTACAGATATGATATATTACAGATATAATACAGATATAATACAGATATATTACAGATATATTATAGATATAATACTGATATAATACAGATATATTACAGATATAATACAGTTTTAGAAATTTAATAACGAATACTGCGAAAAGTTTGCTAGAATTTCTGATGCCATCTTCTATCGATTTAATAAAGCTCTTCACTCATATATAATATGTCAGCCATAGCTGGCCAAACGGCAAAACCAAATGGGCTGAATTTTTTTTTAAATTAAAATTATATTTCTTAAAATTCCAAAAAAATCAATTGTTTCTGAAATTCCACGGGAAACGCCGGCCACTTCAGCTATTATTAAATACTATTATAAAAATCCAGTCGAGGGAATTAATTTTGTTTATTTTATCAGGATCAGGACGAATTAACAATAAGAGTTGGAGATATTATAATAGTTAAAAACGAAGGTAAAATCATCAAAATTTTCATTATTTTTTTAACAATGTTTTAATCTATATATTTGTTAAATTTAGACGCTTCCGGCTGGTGGACCGGTCAGCTTAATGAGAAGAAGGGATTCTTTCCGGCCGACTATATAGAGAAGATATAATCCTGTACCTATATAGAACCCTGACTTATAGAATATTTGGAGCCGGAAAGAAAAATTGTGAATTTAAATAATAAACACACATGTTATTTAAGGCGCTTCGCGCCCTTCTTTCTATGCTTTTAGGGCGCTTTGCGCCCATCTTTTATTTAATTTGTGAACATGTTCTTTTTGTTTACATTTTAAAACAAAGAAGAAAAAAATTCTGCAGATTTAAAAAAAAAATCGCGGATTTTCAAGAATTTAAATTTTTTTATAAAATTAAAAACCTTTAAAACACATTTTTAAAAATTTTTTATCATTTATAAACCTTCCCTGTGGTCACGTGATGTCCCACAAAAAATTTGGGCCCGATCAGTTCAGCCGTTTTGACGTTTACACTAAGGACGAGACAATATTTGAGACAGAAACTAAATTCAACCTTTAGATTGTTGTTTATGTTTAAGAGCTCCAGGTCGTCATCGTTGTTTCATCTTTTGTGGGTAACCCTGCATACACTGGCATGTTTATGATAAAGAGTTGAAGAGAAGAAACAATAAAAATGTTGGAAATGAGAATGTATTAAGTTAAATTCATGCCCTAGAAACTTAATATTTTTGACAGAAATTTTAGCTAATAAATTGAAAACCTACAAATTTGAAAATTGTCAAATGTTTGCAGTTAATCCTCGAATTCTCTTTATATAAAGAAAGAAAATCTAAAAATTTATCAATTCCATAAAAGTCCCCTTAGAAATACGTAAACATATCGTGATTTACACAACCGACTACTCTATTAATTAATTAATAGGGAGGTCGGTTGTGTACGTCTGAGGTAAGCATTTCCTCTTCGTTTCTTTCTAGCTATGCTATTACTGTTTGAAATACTTTAAAGAATGATAAATCACCTTTAGATGTAAATACCGGAAAATCACGGAGGTGTAAAGTCGTCGTTACGTAATATATAAGATGAAAACCATCGTAAAGAGAAAATGATAAATCAACAGTGTATGTTCAATTAAAGGTTTCCCAACTCGTGTTAAAGTAAATCTTGCAGAAATATCTTCACAAGTCAGTGGAGACTAATCACAGGCTTTAAAAACCATGATCTTTCTAATCAAGAAACTGGCAAAATTTTGAAGATCATGACGATAAATTTTCTACTTCCAGCATATTTTCTGATTGATAATATGGAACCCAGCTTCGCCTGAAAACTATCTAAACTTTCTATGAAAACCAAGCTAAGAACATTCCCATGGTTCCACAGAGTTTCCCAATCAAAATTTGAGGCAAATAGGTCCCGGGGTTGATGAGTTATGATCGGACATACAAACAAACAGAGACTACTATTTGATATATATAGATGAGAAAAATACAGAAATAAAGCATGAGTAATTAATTTGTTGAAGGGTGTGTCCAACAACTGACAAGTTGGGGTAATGTAGGTAAAAAAACATTAATGTAGTGTTTATACGATGAACAATTTCTGAGAAATGTTTATTCAAAATGTTTTGTAGTGTCCGAGGATCACTATCATGTCTAAACTGTAGATATTGTTTCGACCTAAGCCTAATAATTAACCTTATTAGTGAACACACTGTTTTTTTAAACCCTCGAAACTGAGTTGATTGTGCATTAACAAATTCTTATTTGTACAGTTTATAAATTCTCTATTGGCTCACCCTTGCTTTTCCGGATCTAACCAATTGGCAATTGCAATGTTTTTTTTTCTGGATTTATTCATAAAAAAATTATTATGCTAAAAAAATTCCTCTGGCTGGTATGATAATGAAAATTTGTTCATTGAAAACATACAGATGCACCTTCTAATATTTGTTTTGAGAAAGTAGTTACGAAAAGAAGATAAAAACTGCTTTATCATCCTTGATGTCTCCAGTCCCCCACAGGGATCACAGGGCTGAACCAGATGGTTGAACTTGTAAAGGAACTTACGTAACCTACAGATAAATCCGCAGATCATTTTATTTTTATTGTCAGAGGGGGGGGGGGCAGGGGAAATCATTTAACCTTGAGCCGGGTAGAGTCTATTAGTAAACACACTGATCCGTTTTTATCAAACTAGCATTGTACAGTTAAAGAGATATAGGAGAAATTTAAGAGAGACTTACTACTAAGGGATAATTGTAAAGGGACCAATCTATGGAAAAGCAAATTTATAAACAGGGCAAAGGAAATGAGTCTTTGCCACAAACTCGGATTTTTAAATCTCAATATCTTTAAAACCAAATGTCGTAGACCGTAGATATTTCAAACTATGAATTCTGGTGAATCAAACAATGTAAGTTTGAAATATGAATGCTATGCATCATCTGGTATTAGGTATTATAAAATTGGGATTTGTGGCAAAAACTCAATTTCTTTATTATCAATTTAATACTAGATTGGCGTTCTACGGTGATGCAACTAGGGGACCATGAGTTTGTAGAATTTAGAAAATTATATTATTTGTTTGGAATTTGTCATGTTCAGAGTTTGTTTTCCCGCAATTTATTTTGTCGCTGAATCAATTCATAAGATGTATCAATACATGATAATATTAATTCAGTTAGGTTACAGATAGCAGCAGATACATATATGATAATATTAATCCATGATTACAGATACCACAGGTACAGATAAATTAATATTAATCCATGATTACAGATACCACAGATACAGATATGATAACATTAATATATGGTTACAGATACCAGCAGATACAGATATGATAATATTAATTCATGGTTAGGTTACAGATACCAGCAGATACAGATATGATAATATTAATTCATGGTTAGGTTACAGATAGCAGCAGATACAGATATGATAATATTAATCCATGATTACAGATACCACAGATATAGATAAATTAATATTAATCCATGATTACAGATACCACAGATACAGATAAATTAATATTAATCCATGATTACATTAACTAATATGTTAATATTAATTCATGGTTACAACAGATACAGATATGTTAATATTAATCCATGATTACATATACAGATGATGTGTTTAAATAGATTTATTTAAGTAAACGTTAGTGTAAACATAGAATTATTTGAGAATTGATTTACTTTTAAGCAGCTGCATGACAAACCCATTTTAACCTTATCTTCTGCAATCATGATAATTGCCACATCCTGACAGCGCCGGCGCCACAAGTTTACTTGGCACCGGCGCCAGGAGAAATCTGTCAGTTGGTTTTAAGATGATGTTTAGAGTAGCAACTATTATCCTTCTCCTCAACCTTGCAGGGTTTATCCACCCAGCTTATGGAGGAGCTCAGTCCATCTCAGAGCCTCATGCACAGTCCCTTAGTCAGGTTAGAACCTCATACACCGTCCTTATTTCAGTTGTTAGAACCCCTACACAGTTCTTTTACATTTACTTTTCTCCTATTTTGTTTATTTATAGATTCTTGATTTCAAATTGTTTGTATATATTCTAGACTGGAAGAAGTTTAAAACCAACCCAGGCAGAAAACGAAGAGTTCTTCGAGATGATTGAGCATCTTCTCTGGATTACAGATGAGAAGGAAGGAGCAGGAAGAATGTATTATAGAAGACCAAGTGCAGGTATTCGAGTCGGAGTAGGAGTGGAATACAGGAGAGAGAAGATCAGGATAGAGGAAAGAAGATAAGGATAGCTGAGAGAAGATTAGGATAGAGGAGAGAAGATCAGGATAGAGGAGAGAAGATTAGGATAGAGGAGAGAAGATCAGGATAGAGGAGAGAAGATTAGGATAGAGCAGAGAAGATAAGGATAACGGAGAGAAGATTAGGATAGAGGAGAAAAGATTAGGATAGAGGAGAGAAGATTAGGATAGAGGAGAGAAGATCAGGATAGAGGAGAGAAGATCAGGATAGAGGAGAGAAGATAAGGAAAGAGGAGAGAAGATTAGGAAAGTGGAGAAGGATAAGGAGAGAGGAGAGAAGATTATGATAGACCAGAGAAGATCAGGATAGATGAGAGAAGATCGGGATAGAAGAGAGAATATCAGGATAGATGAGAGAAGATCAGGATAGAAGAGAGAATATCAGGATAGAGGAGAGAAGATAAGGAAAGAGGAGAGAAGATTAGGAAAGTGGAGAAGGATAAGGATAGAGGAGAGAAGATTATGATAGACCAGAGAAGATCAGGATAGATGAGAGAAGATCGGGATAGAAGAGAGAATATCAGGATAGATGAGAGAAGATCAGGATAGATGAGAGAAGATCAGGATAGATGAGAGAAGATCAGAGCCCGCGATTTAAAAAATTCGAGAAAATAAGGCTCGAGTCTAAGCTGTCGTTGGGCCTTATTTACGACTTGAGCTTTCGGATTCAAGCTGCATCTTATTTTTCACAGAGTTTAGTTCAAAAAAACAGTTTAATATTCTATTTGGCGGAATTTCATAGTAGGAATGGGCGCATTCCGGGTTTTTATGAGAACAAGACGCAACATTGAGCTTTATTCTCCACTAAAACCAACCAAGGTCGGTTTTATTTTCATTGGGCCTTACTCCTAAAGTCGAGTCGAAGATCTTGCAGATGTCAATCACGTGACACAAGCTGTCGTCAGAGTTGGGTCGAAGATTGGGTCTTATAGTCGGGTTTAAGGAATTACGACTCGAGCCGAAGTTTTTAATTCGTGCGCTCAGAATAGATGAGAAAAGATCAGGATAGAGGAGAGAAGATCACAATAGATGAGAGAAAATCATGATAGAGGTTAAATGATACAAGGATACTTGATACAAGGTTAAATGATACAAGGATACCTGATACAAAGTTAATTGATACAAGGATACATGATACAAGGATACCTGATACAAGGATACATGATACAAGGTTAAATTATACAAGATTAAATGATACAAGGATACCTGATACAAGGATACCTGATACAAGGATACATGATACAAGGATACCGGATACAAGGATACATGATGCAAGGTTAAATGAAGCAAAGATACATGATACAAGGATACATGATACAAGGTTAAACGATACAAGGATACATGATACAAGGATACATAATACAAGGATTCATGATAAAAGGAAACCTGATAAAAGGATACTTGATACAAGGTTAAATGATACAAGGATACCTGATACAAGGATACCTGATACAAGGATACATGATACAAGGATACCTGATACAAAAATACATGATACAAGGATACATGATACAAGGTTAAATTATACAAGATTAAATGATACAAGGATACCTGATACAAGGATACATGATACAAGGATACCTGATACAAGGATACATGATGCAAGGTTAAATGAAACAAAGATACATGATGCAAAGATACATGATACAAGGTTAAACGATACAAGGATACATGATACAAGGATACATAATACAAGGATTCATGATAAAAGGAAACCTGATAAAAGGAAACATGTAGAAGGTTAAATGAGACAAAGATACATGAGACAAGGTTAAATGATACAAGGATACATGATACAATTGGTTAAATGATACAAAGATATACGATACAAGGAATTCTGATACAATGTTAAATGATACAAAGATTCAAGATACATGGAGGAATTTAAAGAAAAATGATAAAATTAAAGATAAGAATGAAATTGGAAAGTGCAGACTGGGAAAGGGAGAAATCAAATACAAATAAAAAGAACGCAAAAAAAAATTATCCAAAAAAGATTTGAAATATATTAAGAATAAACTATTTTTCCCAGGTTGGATGGGGATGAGAAGACCAAGGTTTCTCTCAGAGAGGAATGGAGAACCATCTTCTTTATACAGAAAAGTTCTAGAGGAATGCAACGGTTGGTTATGCGCACTTGGGATCAACGGTCTTGTTTATAAAATAGGCCGGATGCTAGCTTGATCTTGAACAAGAAAGGTCGGATGCTGGCTTGATCTTGAACAAGATTGGTCGGATGCTGGTTTGCTCTTGAACAAAATTGGTCGGATACTGGCTTTATCTTGAACAAGATTGGTGAGATGCTGGCTTGATCTTAAACAAGATTGGTGAGATGCTGGCTTGATCTTGAACAAGACTGGTTTGAAGCTGGTTTGCTCTTGAACAAGATTGGTCGGATACTGGCTTGATCTTGAACAAGATTGGTCGGATACTGGCTTGATCTTGAACAAGACTGGTTTGAAGCTGGCTAGAACTTGAACAAGATTGGTCGGATACTGGCTTGATCTTGAAAAAGACTGGTCGGAAGCTGACTTGAACTTAAACAAGATTGGTCGCATGCTGGCTTGATCTTTTAATTGATCTAAATTTAACCTTGTCTCCAATCTAGTGCAATATTACGGATAAAAAATCCTAAAATGTAAATAATGTTGATACAAATAGAAATATGAAATACATTCTGAAACATGATTTTATCATTTATTTTGCATTAAACTTAAAAGGGAAGTTCTTGTAATTTATACTGACCCTGCATTTATAAACGGTACCCTTTAAACCTCCTTTAAATAATTGTCAAAATAAAAATGTTGAAGATATGTTTTTCAAGCAACGCTGAAGTCTTCCTTTATTGTTTCTGTAACAGACATCCACAAGTAAATTTGAGAGAGAAACCGCAATTGAAAACAATCAATTTTCAACGTTAAAAAATGGATATATCATTCATTCATGATCATTAATCATGCATGGCTTTTAAATGTACCGTTTTGAATCGGACATGCAACACAATAAATGGAGCTCCACTTGAAACAACAACATCTGTGCGACATTGCTGTTTAAATTATTTTTGAGAGTTTTCTCACAATTGATATAGGACTGGGCAAAGTTCCGTTAACGAAACAGAGGTTTTCGAAAATTAACGGAAGAACCCGTTAACGAACGGAAAAAACCGTTAATTAAAGGACGGACTGTATAGGACGGACCGTCCAAGTACGGGCTGTACTATGACGGACTATACATAGACAGAATGTACAAGGACAAGCTGTAAAAAAAATATTTTTTTATTTTTTATTTTTATAAATAAGTAATTATATAAAAGCAGATAATATAATACAATATAAGATACAAGACAAGTTATTTTCATGAGAAAATAATCTTCGTCTCTATACTGTGCACAGAGGTAGACGCTGTGATTTATAGACTCCATGATCCAACTATTTTAAGACCCCTGAGTAACATTTATAGAATAAGGCTTTGGAACTTGACAGTTAAATGGCCGAGGTTCAGATATCGGGTTGAAGTAGCGTCCAGTGCTTCTCTATATCCTCTAGATTCTTCAGCAGTGACCTCTGTGGGTGAGTCTCTAAGAAGGGTGGAAATGAGCGCATGGGGATTTCTCTGTTGTGAGTCGGTGATGCAAATTGTCGATTATATTATTATTTGCTTCTTAAAGCGATTGTAAGCGTAATTCCTGGCAAAGAGTCCGATTTCCATTGGAATATTGGTGGTTCTGGATCCTTAACTTTGGAGTCCATTTTCTCCCATTAAATGAAGATTGTCCGTTATTGCTATTTTACTCTTAAACAATATTATTAAAATTTTATTACGTTATGCTAAATCTGTCAACATTTTTCATAATATTTTACCAATTGTTTTCAAAAATAGTTTTCGTTGATATCTTTGGGCAAAGTAAATATTTGGCATAATGCAGCAAAAAATTGAAAAAGGATAAAAAATCTTAGATTCTTGTAGAGTCTCCAAAAACTAAAACCTAAAAAAAACTTTAAAAAACGGATCCCAAAACTTGAATGTTTAAAAACGGATCTCAAAACTTGAATGTTTAATAAACGGATCTCAAAACTTGAATGTTTAAAAACGGATCTCAAAACTTGAATGTTTAAAAAACGGATCTCAAAACTTGAATGTTTAAAAAACGGATCTCAAAACTTGAATGTTTAAAAAACGGATCTCAAAACTTGAATGTTTAAAAAACGGATCTCAAAACTTGAATGTTTAAAAAACGGATCTCAAAACTTGAATGTTTAAAAAACGGATCTCAAAACTTGAATGTTTAAAAAACAGATCTCAAAACTTGAATGTTTAAAAAACGGATCTCAAAACTTGAATGTTTAAAAAACGAATCTCAAAACTTGAATGTTTAAAAAATGATCTCAAAACTTGAATGTTTAATTAAAAACGGATAAAAACAGCCGTCAAACATTTTCTCATCGTGTACATGGCACATGCACTGTCTCATTGATTGTTTTGGTTGTCAGTATGAACATGCTAATCTATGAGATAAGTTTAACTTGTTTAAACTTTTTTATTCCTGAAATGACGGAGATTTTTACATAATTGACCCATAGATTAATAACAATTCAGATATAACACTATATGTCGTCTTTTCAAGATTTAGGGTTATTTCGATCACAATAACCTTAATCTTGAAAAGACTACATCTAGTGTTCTATCTGTAATTGTCATTAACCATTTAACCATTCTGATTATATTCAGTATTCCTGATCTTTCTTAATTATATCTCCGTCAATTTTGAATTAATTTTGAAAAGATTAAATATTTATCACATTTTAAAAACATTTCGCAAGGTTTAGATATTTAGCGCATCTAAATTGCAAGTAATAACGAGTTTAACTATTAAATGGAGACGTGATAAAGTTTATAACGCTGGTTTTATATTTATTAGTTTAACAATGAACAGTAAAATTTCATTAATTATCTGGTTTAAGAAATATTGTGGGATTCTAGCATGTGTTCATATATTAGGATACAGAATACAGGATACAGATTACAGGATACAGGATGCAGGATTCAGGATACAAAATACAGAATACAGGATACAGGATACAGGTTAGATGCTTTTTCCTGAATACTCGAATTTCTTTCACCGTAAGTGTTTCCTTGGAACTTCTAAGATTCTCAGAGCTGAAAACTTTAGAAGTGTGGATATTGGATATAGAGATCAATGCTTGATCTTATCTTTTTTAAGCAGAGATCAAATTGTTCACAGTGTATATTAAGCTTAAAGGGAGTGTTCGCGAAAATGAAAGGAGTATAGGCTTACGGCGAAAAATAATCGCTTTTGATCACTGCTATTCTTACTTCTGTTTGTTGTGTCTATAAGGAGCACATTGTTAAAAACTACTTATGCTGAAGAACGTAGCGTCCATACAAATGCATAAAGTTGCAACATTTAACTCGGATCGTAAAAAAATCAATTTAATTCCATGCAAACCATTCAGTGATTACAACCAATAATCATCGATAATTTTTCGACGCATTCGTATATAGTTGATATTTCATAATATTTTCTATTTTTTATGATCTGATAGTTACTTTTGAAAACATTTATTCCTGTTTTGAGGATTTTTGATAATTAAGACGACATTTTCATATTTTCCCGGAATTTTGAAAATCCAGCGCCAGCGAAATATTATTTAAAAAACTAAATCAAAATGTAGTTCCTGAATACTCCTGTAGTTCCTGGATACTCCTTTAGTTCCTGAATATTCTTATAGTTCCTTAATACTCCTATAGTTCCTGAATACTCCTGTAGTTTTGGATACTTCATGAATACTCCTGTAGTTCCTGGATACCCCTGTAGTTCATGGATACCCCTGTGGTTCCTGGATACTCCTGTAGTTCCTGGATAAACTTGTATTTACTGGATACTCTCGTAGTTACTGGATACTATTGTAGTTACTAGATACTCTTGTAGTACCTGGATACTCCTGTAGTTCTTGGATATTTCATGAATACTTCTGTAATTCCTGGAAACTCTTGTAGTTCCTGGATACTCTTGTAGTTACTGGATACTATTGTAGTTACTGGATACTTATGTAGTATCTGGATACTCATGTAGTACCTGGATATTCATGTAGTTCTTAGATATTTAATGAATGCTTCCGTAATTCCTGGATACTTCTGTAGTTCCTGGATACTCCTGTAGTTCCTGGTTACTCCTATAGTTCCTGAATGCTCCTGTAGTTTCTGGATACTCTTGCGGCTACTGGATACTCTTGTAGTTAATGGATATTCTTGTAGTTACTGGATACTCTTGCGGTCACTGGATACTCTTGTAGTTACTGGATATTCTTGTAGTTACTGGATACTCTTGCGGTCACTACTGGATACTCTTGTAGTTAATGGATATTCTTGTAGTTACTGGATACTCTTGCGGTCACTGGATACTCTTGTAGTTACTGGATATTCTTGTAGTTACTGGATACTCTTGTAGTTACTGGATATTCTTGTAGTTACTGGATACTCCTGCAGTTCCTGGATACAAAATAATCCCTGGTTACTTCTGTAAATCCTGAACACGTATTTCAATCCTGGATACTCCTTTAATTTGTGGATACAATTCTGCTACTCAGCAGGTACTTTTACTGCTCTACAGGCATTTCTGCTACTTTGCAGGCACTCTTGCTACTCTACAGGTACTGTTACTACTCTGCAGCGACTGCAGGTACTTCTATTTCTCTAGGTTCTCTAGTAACTGATAATTCCTTTGTTACCGAGGGAGCAGGAGAGGGGGGATAAGCATGACTCTGGATAGTGATTTATATTTCTAATTTTTAAAGGACCAAATTCATTTTTTTAAATGACAAAAAATTGAGATTCAGAGATTTAAAACGTTGGGATAGTTTGAAAATGAATTATAAATATAAATTTCCTTGTAAGCTGGAGTCGTTAAAAGTTCCGTCTTTAGTCGAGAATTATTGGACACAGTAACTAATATTGTAGAGGGAGTAGTTCTTGGAGTACTTTCTGTAGTTTGGGGTTTCTTCAGTAATTTATGTGGAGGAGACAAATCAGATAAATATAATTTGTGAGAATTATGAATTCTGCTCTTTTCTGTTAAATCAGATTTTGACGAAATTTTGGAAGATTTTTGAAGATTCTTCCACTTGCTCAGAAATTTCAAAGACGCATCCTGATTTATAATCGGAAAAATGGAGTTGTCAAACATTGTCAGACGTTGGAAATGGGAACGGGTTTTTGGCACTTTATCGAAGACTGGGGTTCGAGAAACACTATGACCTAGTCTGGATAGATGAACGATCTGATCAGTTCTCCTGGTAAGGCTTTTCTGAGATGCCTGGTTTAAATCTGGTTGGACTGAGAGAAGGATAGTTAGAACCCTGAGCATGGTTTCAGAGAAACTGAAACTATTCAAGGCTCCGGAGTAATATTTATACAAGGATCCTTGCCGCCCTCAAAACATACTGCTTCATATTATTTTATTTTTCTCGGTCAATACAAATGAAATACAATCCGTTTGGGTTAATTTTCCTTACCTACGGTCCACCAACTTTTAAGATTAAAACAGACAAAAAAGTTTGACAGTTTACATTTTGAGTCTTAGTTACTTTTAAAAGAAGCCATGGGTTTAGTATAAAAATTCTGCGTTTGCAAAAAAACACATTTAATTTTTATTTGAAGAATATAGTTGC